TGATGAACATTCTTGACTTTATTAACTCCTGAAGGATTATGGGCTGAGTGAACTCGTGACCTTTCCATCGTGAGTCAAGCATTCGAACCCGGAGTGCCCAAGAGGGTTTCTATCGTAATGAATAGTTTACACCCTCTGTTTTTGTTTTAATCTACAGCTAGATGAAGGCCACCCCCACACCATGTCCGTTCATGGGGTATTATTTACCATACTTCACCGTCCTGGTCCGTGCAGGTTTGTGATTGGTGGTGGGGTGGGTGGGCAGGGGTCGGGGGGGGTTTGTCACTCAGGACCGATTCGATATTGCTCACCCCTGATGTTAGCCGTGACCGGTGAACGAACTCGGCTTGCCGGGTTCACCGTGCGGTGTCGAGATCACGGTCTTGACTGACCAGCCTCTGATGGCGTCTCTGGATGGTAGATTGACGGACCTTTACAAGGCGAGGGTCTTTGGTCGATATATTGACGGAGGCCCGTCTCTTTCGTAACATTACCTTAGTGGAACGTACCGCTTGTTGGCAAAGTGGTCCATTCCGCTTTACCGTATCGTACTTCTATGTGACGAGTGGTAATGTTGAGCTACAAGGACCTCCTAACAGCTGACGTTCTCTTCCGTTAAAAACTAAACAAAAAAAACCTTATAGTCCCACCTGCTATATCCCCCTTACCCTCTCGGTCAAACACACTCACCGCCAAAGGCTGTTCGTTGCTCAGTGACTAACACATTTGCCTGTTAGCGCGTTTCTCATAATAGACCAACAATGTAAATTCTTCCCATGGGATTGTTCAAACAAATGCCTGCGCTGATCCCGTTGGGCTTGGGAGAGTCACAGCGGCTGGACCTGTGGCTCTCTTGGCCACCCATAGATTTTCTCGCGTGCGTGCCAGCTGGCCTGTCCATGGGCCCTTCTCTCTCGCTCTGGCATTCTAGCCCTTGGTTGGGATCATTCAAAGGATTCGCGATGAAATGCCCAGAGGATCAAAGTCTCAGATCAAAGTTCGTAAGCATGGGCACTTGAGTACAGTACAAACGGTTGGAAAAGGGCAACCTGCCTGGCATGTGTAGGGCGGACGTGCCTTCCGCCAAGACTCAGAAGAGCCAAAGCGATTTCTCGCTCAAATGAACATTGAGGTGGTGCCTATCTGCTGTTTAGAGCCCTGAGTCAGGAGTGGAAGTTCCTCATTGCTATGGTGGGGACAAGTCTAGCCACAGGGCAACCACTGTTGACTTCCCCGCGAAATGGTGTTCACTTTATCGACCTCGACCCCTCCCAATGGGATGATGATGGGATGAGACCAATCCCCCAACGGGGATTCGGATTCGCAGCTTTCCGAGATTGCAAACCGCTCGTCATCTCGTATTATTCCTATGTCGCAGTGGGAACAGATTGCCAGTCCAACTTTTTTGGCAGCGGTTGTATTAACGTACCCACACGCTTTGCAGGGCACATATATAGAGAGTGTGCCCCGAGTGAGGATAAAGCAGTCGTTAGAAGTGACTACAAACGTCGTTCTGTGACATCACCTTCCCTGGATGTTCTCTGACGCAGCGTGGCGCGCTGCTGGCAGCAGATATTCTCAATGGCAATTTATTACATCACGGGACATAATTAGTAGAATTTTCTCAACCCGCCGCTAGGTGAAGGCCTCTCCCCAAGCCGTCGGTCATCGGGGGTTGTTTGACCGTACTCTACTTCCCATGCTGGTCGGTGTGGGTTAGTAAAGGGAGATGTTTAGAGGCACTTGGTCGCAGGACTATTTCAGATGTGACTTGACACCGAGGTTAGCCATGGCACGGAATCCAACCGAACTGATTTGATGTAATGATTTGGCTGGCTAGCACTGTGGCATAGCGCACGACTCCCCAGTCGCACGGCCGTGACTCCCCAATGCCCGTCAGGGGTTGACTCATCCTGACGTCATCGTCATCAGCCCATCATCTATCCACTGCTGGATGAAGGCCTCCCCAAGCGGTCACCCTCTCTCATGTTTGCGATGTAACTATCTATCCGTCAGCACGAGACGGTTTCATCGCTCCATCTCCTCTGTCGACGTCCGCTCGGATGCATTCCATTCCACGGCTGCAACTCTGTCATTATTCTTGACCATCGCCCTCATCACTGTGACCGATTTTCCTGCCTAAACCTGCTTACATTTCTTGACAGTTTGAATTAAGTCTCTCACTTCAATGTTCTATAATCCGTGTGTTCCTCCTTCTTGTCTCTTCAGCATAATGGCAAGGATGCTTCTCACCAAGCTTACATATTTCATAACAGGTCGTACACATTCCTACGGATTTGGAAGTAAACAGTGGGGCTATCCTAACGGTAGACCGATATCTAACATAGGAATGTGGAATTGGCACCACCGGCATGGTCCTGCCAATGAAGATGGGCACCGTCACCCCTGGCTCGATTTGGGGCATGTGGCATGAAAGCGCGCCATCTAGCGGACCTACATTGTAAAGAGAGCATCCTCGCCATTAAGATCGGCAGTGCCTTGAGCATTGTTTCAAGGAAGCCTGACACTGCTGATGAGAAACTGTCCAAACCATTCCGGAGTTTGCTTGCCCTTTAATTAATGCTTCTGAAGTTATACACTCCCAGAGGGTCCTGCGGGTGATGGTTTTGTAAGATATACCCTTTTATCCGGAGAGACGGATATGTGAAGGAGACGTTGCTTATTTATTTTGTCATCGAGTGGTGGGGTGACAGTGACGTTAAAAGCGACCTCGCAAGTGATGTCATGCTCCAGGGTTGCCTTCTTACACGGTACATTACACTGGCCATTGTATATGTACACGAACGGCCGCTTTGTCAATCCACTGTTGGATGAGTGCCCCTTCCACGGCATTCGGGTCGTGACTTATTTGATGCTACGCCACCACACCAGTCACCGTGCGTTGGTGGCGGAACGGAGATGCGGGGAAGCGTGTGAGTACAGTACGACAACACGGTACTTTGAGCTTACCCTTAGCCGATCGCGTAATTATCCAAGAACCCTTCCCGTAGAGCCAGATAAATGCGACCCCCCCCCAAGGGCCAATTGCGGCACGGACGGCGAGAGATGTTCGGGCAAGCCGCGTAGCATCGCGGGAGAATTGCTCGGTAAGCCTTGGCTAGGAAGCTTGCGGGGGACCTCGCTGGCGAGGTGTTTGCACGACTCGCAAGCCGGCAAGGGTCGTGCTTCGCTTTTTAATCTTGCGACTCCAATTGTGTGTTCTTCGGCCGTCGCCCCGTCGATAGCGTCTGCGCCCATGAGTCTTTGAAAATCGCCGGGAAGCGGAGCACACAGTCACAACAAGGAGCTAAATGTAGCACGCGGCTGCCATTTCAGCTGCTAAATGTCACCGAGAAGCAGTTAGAATTAAGACGCCGCATCAATTATTCAAGGGCCTTGTTGATGTTATCGCGGCGAAAATATACAGATAGGGATGGCGGGCTTGAGCTATTGACGAGGCATTGTGCCTCTGTGTAGTGTGGGTGTTGAGCACGCTATTTTGGAAGCTGTGTATTGGTCCTGTGTGTTGCAGCATTATAAATATTGTCCGGAATGCAGCATCCATCGTGAAATAATATATCTTTTTTATTTGTAATTTTTAATATCGTGGCCCAACTTTATCCCAAGTGCTCTTTCGGTGTCACGGAAAGGAATGGAGTATTTATTCGGAATTTGCGGAGCTGTTAAAGCCCCTGCGTTAGAGATCAAATGACCCCCGGAAATGGATATCACAGAGCTACCCCTTGATTTCTCGTTTAATAACATGAAAACGAAGCTGGTTTTGCCCATTTTCAAAGTGAGTTTCCTCTTTGTATGTGTGGATGCCATATTGTTACCATCTCACTAAATGCGTGGCGATATTACTTCTTGGAGTGCGTATGTGCATGCACAGAATGTTTGGAATTTACTCGGGGGGGGGGAAGGGTAAGCATCTTGGAAGTTGGGAACAGAATGTTACAGGATACCATTGGAGCTGTAATCAGGAATAGAAGCTTGCGATGGGTGGGACACGTTTGCAGGGTGGAGTAGACAGGCATTGAAGTGGCATCACAAGTCGGTGACCAAGGTGGAAGACTTGAAGCCAAATGACGATGGTGGTGATGGCGGTGGTGAACTTATAACTTCGTTCGCACCGTACGTAGACAACCGTGCTAATGGGTGGTGGTGAGACTTCGAGGAAATCCGAAAGTTCGGGTGTTGACGGTGCAGCAGAAGGAAGGCCGTGATGCCGTGGCGTTGTTGTCTCGCTGGGCACTGGCCGTGATGACCTGTTGATGTCGTGCCTGGTGTAGCCAAGCGGTGGCGGTGCTGTGGAAGTAGGCCCCGTCTCTCGGTGGAGTTCAATTCCCAATCTCAGGTTGTCTCAGCCGATTGTGTCACCGGTGTCTATAAATAAGAACCCCTGTGTGGTGCAATCACAACAGTGGTGGCCCAAAAGAGAATGTGGGCCCAGTGTTGCGAATCGCAACACTGGCTCATGGCCACTAAATGGAGAGAAGAGATAAATATGGTTTGTGACGTGACACTATATACATCCATCTTCTTTACATTTTGGTTCCATGAAAATGATCATCATCATGATGGTGATTATTCTGTTGATGCTTTTACAGCTAATTATGGTGATGGTAAATTATGATAATGATGGTGATGTTAAATTATGATGATAATCATTACTGTTGATGCTTATACAGATAATGATGGTGATGATTATAAGTTAATGTTGCTGATAATGTGGATGTGGATCGTAAAAATAGAAACTAAACTATTTTATATTTCACCAGGTAAGGCCCATTAAGCTCTCTCGTGTCTTTTTCAGAAGTAACCTGGCTACCACAAATGTTAGCTCAGCAAAGTGGCTTATTAGGTGGAAATCTATACCAGCTAAATATTCTAAACCCACTTTGATTCTAAATGCGGAGGGAAAAACCGGAGGACCCGGAGAAAAATCGACGATGAAGCTGATGAACGTTGCTGATTTGCGTCGTGTCATTGCTCTCAAGGCTCGGACCACGTGGGCTCCGCCAGGGCTAACAGCCGCCACGGCTCTCGGGGCTGGCGTGGCCGAGCCGCCCGGAGCCGGCGTCGTCACCGCGAGGCCCCGTCCCCACGGAGACGGAGCCGAAGGCGCGCCCAGCGCCGCTCCGGCGCCGCCGGGCCCATCTCGGCGAGCGCCGGCTCCGAGGCGACGCCCGACAAGAACGCCGCCGCCGCCGCCGACGCCGCCGCCGCCGCCGCGGGGGAAGAGTTTGAGCAGGGCGCGTCACGGGAACCCGGCAGAGTCGGCGGCGGCGGCGGCGGCGGCGGAAGGAGCGAGCGATCGAGGAGCAGGCGGAGCAGTAGGGCGGAACCGCGCGACGAAACGGTCCTGGGGGGCAGCCCCGGCGGCTGCGGCGGCTGCGCTGAGCGACCCGAAGCTTCGTCCAGGCGGCCGCTCGTCGGCGCGGGGAGGGAGGCGCCCAAAAGGAGGAGCCACGTGGAGGTGCGCCGGGAAGAGGGCGGCGACGGCGGCCGTGCGGCCGAGGACGAGGAGAGCGGGGCAGAGAAGACGAGCAGCGGCGGAGACGGCGGCGGCGGCGGCGGCGGAGGAGGAGGAGGAGGAGGGGGCGGCGGCGGGGGAGGCGGCGGCGGCGGCGGCGGCGGCGGAGGGAAACCGGAGAGCCGGTCGAGCAGCGGCGCCGGGGAGGCCGGCGGCGGGGCCGGCTGCGGCGGCGCGGGCGGTGGGGCCGGCGGCGGCGTCGGCGGGGGCACCGGGGGGAGCCCCGGCGGAGGGGGCGGCGAAGGGGGGCGCAGGAGGGGGTACCCCGGCGGGGGCCGCAGCTCGCGCAGCTCGGGGCGGAGGGGCCGGAGGGGGAAGAGGAAGTCCGCCGGCGGTGCCCACGGCAGGTTGCGATCATGAACGACCCCGGCCCCACTGCTGCCCACACAACAAAGTTCACAACCACAGCACTCACACAGCCAGAGCCGCAGGTAAAGGCAAAGGGGCGGCGCTGCAATTGGTCGCTCGCGCCACCGCTAGTGGAAAGGGCATCCACCAGAGGGAACTGTAGAGAGGCGCTCGAGGGGGCGTATTGGTCGAACTTTCCACGCTGGCGTCTCGGAAGAGGTGGGGATATCCGCACTTTACCTCACCCTCCTCGTTCGACCTACCGATCGATTAGCTGCGGAGTTACCCATTATTACTGGTGGGTGGAGAGAGAGGCTAAGGAGGATTTAAGAAACTTGCACCGTTGTTGGAAGAGTAGCAAGTTTATTTACGTATTTAAACACGTATCACCTGGATGATCCCTTGAGATGGAGCATCTCATTTGCAACGGTGTCCACGTTGCCGATTGACACGCACTTAGCAAACGTGCGGCGGCGCGCATGTAAACGTCTCGCGCGTGGTTTAAAGGCACGCTTGTACAACGTACGCAGTGCGTACAATTACGCGGAGCCAAGAACAGGAAGAGGACAGCCAGGGCAGAGCCCTTGAACACCACCACCGCCATCACGCGCGCGTGAACATGTGGAGCGCACCGCCACGCCGTAGAGAATATGCTCGCGCTGCGTAACAGTTGAAGTCGCAACCTTACGATTGCGAGCCGAGCCCTCTGCCGTGGTATCACCTGGCTAAGACTTGGTTATTTGTAGTGACTGAATCAATTCTCTGAATACGTCATTGTCATGTAGTGTATATAATTGCATCGTTGTGGCATATATACTGTGTATCAGGGTTCTAAAATGGCATAGCGCTCGCGCGTGCACGCCTTTATTGCAGTATTTCGCGGTTAGAGTCTGGCAGGCCGCCTTGGGTAATACTGCAGGTGTATTAACCGTTGGACGTTAAAGATCCCGTCACTTCATTACAAAAGAGTAGGCCATTGAAGCTTTGTTTCATCCATCGATGTCCAGTAGGGGTGGGTCAGCAAGTTATCACAACAAACAGTACAGAAAACAAAAGTGGGAAAAAAGAGAAAAGGTAAGCAAGTCACTGAAGTGAATAAATAAAAATATATAATCTATGTAAGTACAAATTGCATAAGTACATAAATTCCTGTCGATTTTTTTTAAACGCTAAATGCAAGCTTTGGCAAGGTAGCAAAACAACAACAAAAACAGTCCCAGACCACACCAAGACAACACGCAGACCCTCAAAATTGCACGGGTAGTCCAATGGACAACCACATTTTGACTTCTCGCAAAGCGGTACTTTTGAATCTCGAAAGGATAATGCAGAAGCTGCTAGCGCATGGAGTAAAACGTTGGACATCGCTCCAAACAACACACGACACAACCTGAAAAACAGCTTGTGAGTTTTTACGTGTAAAGTATGATATTAAAGATTTTTATATTAGCGTATGATAAAACACAGTAAACACATTCGTCCTGTTGCTCTGTCTCCTGTCATTGTAGAATGAGCCCTGGCTCACACGACGATCTGGATGACAAATGTGGAGATACTGCGGAGGCCTCTGGGAGTTCCCAGAATGCATCAGCAGAGGGCAGCACCAGCAATGCGACAGGAAGCCTGGAGGGGAATCGGAGAGCACTGAAGCGAAAGCCGCCAAAACCCCTGAAAACTCAGGTACCCCATGCGCAAAACTCACCATCGTGTCGATCTAAAGGTTTTATTATTTGATTACTTTTATCCTTTTCCCCAATTTTAAGATGAAGTATCCATTTATAACTCCCCGCAGCAGAACGACTCACAATCTCCTCTTCCCTACACCAAGGAACATGATGTACATGGTCACTGGCGGGCATTTTTTCTCCATGGCAACCCCCACCATCTGGAATGTGACCATAATCGTCGTTCCACTGCTGCTGCACGTTCCCAGTAGCAGCTTTAAATCTACACCGACTTAATAGACACTTAAAGGCCCCCAGCTCTTTCGCCCGGCTTTTGAGTGACACTGAGCTTGGCTCCGCGAGTCACGGTCATTTACGTCCGTGAAATATTGTGTGCGTTACCAATCGCATATTTATCACTATTAAACGGGTATCACAACAATTTCTGACATCCTTTCCCGTGACCTCAGGTCCACCGACTAGACGGCAGCGTTTTCCCATCTGCCTGGCCAAGGAGCTATATTCACCACTTAACAGTCAACATTAATATTTTAAATTCTGATATCTGGAACTTAGCCAAATGAAGTGGAGGGGAAAATTTAGCACAGTGATTTTTTTTGTGTGCAGCCATTGGTGACCAGGCGGAGAGCATCAACTCACTCCTCTTGAGAACGTAATTTAATCACAGGTGGCTGCCTCTGGATTTGAAGCCAGAATCTCAGCAGTGCCAGCTCAGAGCTCTGACCGCTGAGTCACGCGGTCACCTCTACTGGGTTTCATATTTGTTTTACAACGGCCACTTTATCGCAGGGAGGCTCATAACTTTTGTTTCAGAGACACAGGGCCAGCACCGCTGACATCCTGGGTTCAGATTCAGGCATTGGCTACCTGTGAGTAAACTGGGTTCTCAAGTGTGGCGAATTGATGGGTGTTGCGGGTTACCAATGGCTGCACAAAAACCGTTAGCGTAATATTTGTTTTCATGCAAGCAGCTATTGCCTGGATAAGATGTCGTCAGAAGGTATTTGAGGCAGTTCTGTAATATCAGCTTCTGCGGGGTGATGTATTGCTATGTGAGAGTTCCAAATGAACACTTCAGCTCATAAAATGACTCAATCGGAATAAAACTGTGGGGGGCGGTGAGTAAATATGAATATTACTGGTAGGAAACGTAGTGGACTGGAAGCCCAACCGGGATTAATTGACAGGAGGCAGGGGATTCATTGTGTATGTCTGTGGATGTCTGTCCACGTGTATCCGGACACCCGGATAAAATTGGAGGGGTGGGGCTGGGTGGAGAGGGGAGGGTGGGGAGGGGCTGGGTGGGGAAGGGAGGGTGGGGAGGGGCTGGGGAGGGTGGGGAGGGGAGGGTGGGGAGGGGCTGGGTGGGGAGGGTGGGGGGTGGGGAGGGTGGGGCTGGGTGGGAGGTGGGAGGGGTGGGGCTGGGTGGGGAGGGGCTGGTCACCCCGTGGTGCCCTTACAAAACTCAACGTTTAACCTACTCACGCCGGCTTGTGCCCGCCCTCATAGTCGGGCATATTTGCGGAATACACCACGTGGTGCCGCCGTTGTCCCTGGCCATTGACCGAGCAACCCAACGTTCCTACCAGCTCCCTCCGCAGGTATGTGTTTGTTCAAAGTAATGGATTAAAAGCAGGGATACGAACAACAAAATATAATTTCAGTGTAACGACGAGGCTCGTAGTGCTACTGCCCTGGATAGATGGAGGACTGTGGATTGAATGGGAATGCCATTCCCTCTGATGTCAGATCAGGCCTAGTCCTGAAGAGAGACTTCGGAAACAGAGGCCGCAACGGAGACCCAAACCCATCGCCTGCTCCTTCCGGCTCAAGCCTCTCACCGAGAAGGAGAGGTGAGTGCCGGGGTTGTATGTGCGTACCCCCCAACTTACGACGGCTCGACTTTCGACCCTCCGCTTTTACGACCTATCTTAGAGTAAGAACGGCGAAAACTCGTATCTACGACCCCCTTGACGACTGTTACTGACGCCTAGTCGATTGGCGACGAGTCTGCACATTTCGATTTAAAGCTTTCGTGACTGCAAGGATTCACCTTCTTTGGTTCTTTCGGTAAAGTAACGTAGAATGAGAATAAAATAATAAATTAATAAAATAACGCAATTAAATTCTCACGACGTTTCGGCCACAACACAAGTGGCCTTCATCAGGTGAAGGGACGAGACTGTCTCGAGGACAGCGCTGGAGCTCCAGCGCTGTCCTCGAGACAGTCTCGTGAGAATTTTATTGCGTTATTTTATTTTATTAATTTATTGTTTTATTCTCATTCTACATGACTTTACCGAAAGAACCAAAGAAGATGAGTCTGCACATTGTCATGTCTGCACATTGTCATGTGCAGACTCGGCGCCATCAGGCGATAAGTCTGCTGCGTTTGTCACGCGCGGAACAGTCTGCAGCTGTGCCTCGAGCGGACGCATCTCTTTCGCAGAGCTATCTTCGCTTTTTTGTAAATTTTGAAAAAATGTTCGCCTTTCTCTACGTCTGAGAGGAGGAAATGTGACGCACACGCAGAAAAGTACTTAAGGATTTTCCAATGTAAGTGTTTTTTTTTTAACGTAACAAATGTTTGAAAAAGTTATTTGAAGTTACAATTAATGTTTGTTTGGGTTATTTTCATTTATTTTCGAGGTAAAATTTGTTATTTTTATGGTACATAACGGGTTTCCATGAAGGGGTTCGACGGCTCGACTTGCGAACCAATTAGGTCGTGGGTGCGGGGGGCGCCTGTATATATTTTGAACTTCTTTCGCACCGTACTTAGCCAGCCACGCTAATCAAGAGGTTTCGGGGGAAGGACAACAAACTAAGCACACACAAAAAAGGTTGTGTGTGACCAGAGGGCTAGGCCTAATACTACCTTAGGTCTGAAGCGGGATGATTAATGTGTGCAATTAAGAAAAACTATTAATACATAATTGATGAGATCTGGCTATAGCTGTGCATCTGAGATTAAGTTCTATAATGGGATTGGCGAGGGTGGTGGTGATACATGTGGGAAATACAATTTTCTTTTTTTACAAACGTCGGTGCTAGAAACACCACTAATTGCAATCTGTCATGGCAGTACTCACGTCATCCTGCAGGCTGGTGCAGTAATTAAGCAGTGCATATGTACTTGTTGAATTTAAAGCACTGGCTTTCAGCTGCTGCATTGCCATAACAAAAATGTATAATAAAGAATTGGAATGACCAATTTGGTGGGCGGTGGAATGGCCCAGCGGGGGAGCACATGTTCAAATCCAGCGGCCAACCCGGATAATCGCTGCGGGTGGTGCGGACGTTAAAGATCCCCCCCCCTTCCTGACGTAATTCGCAAGAGCGGGTCGCTACGTGCGACAGTGTCGGGGTCAACATTTGCCAAGTTCTAAAATTAATTTTATATATATATTTTTTTCAAATAATAAAACATTCAAACGAGGTGCCCCCTCGCCGCCGTGCCACAGGATCTTCCTGCAGAGCAACCGCGTGTTCCTGCTGAGGAACCGGCGCCGGGCGTTCGGGCAGTGGGCAGCCCACAAGGCGAGCTCGGACCCGGCCCCCCGGGGGGGCGACGCTTCCGCAACGGCGGCGCCGCAGCTGGCGGCGGTGACGACGGCGGCGGAGGCGGCGGCGGCGGTGGCGGCGGCCGCGGCAGCCGCGGCGAACGCGTCGGTGGGAGGGGGGTCGATGCGGCTCAAGGAGCGACGGGCGGCGCGGAGCCGACGCGCCACGCGGGGAACGGAGGACGACATCATCCGCTGCATCTGCGGCATCTTCCGCGAGGAGGGGCTCATGATCCAGTGCGAGAAGTGCGAGGTGAGTGCCCTGCGTGCGTTCCCGTGTTTGTATGCTCGTGTGGGGAGCGGTAGTGTAGCGGTTAGCGCGTTGTGCTAGGTACCTGACGAACCGAGTTCAATTCCTGCTCATGGCCAACATCAGTGACGATTGTCTGAACTGGTGCTAGGTAGACTCAGCCTAAAATGAGTACTTGGTGTGGTGTGTAAACATCACCACTGGGGAAACAAAGGCGGCCGGACAACGGTGTAGGCCACCCACCACCTCGTGTGCCGTGCCAGCCTTCATAGGTGCTCGCCAACATCACTTGCCCCAACAGTCTATACTGGGCATCTTTGTATGCTAGTGTGTCTGTGAGTGAGCGATTTCTGAAATGGGTGTTTACAGCCACCGCATGCCCAAGCGGCTTTTGTTTTGCCGGATATATGGGGCTAAACGGGAACAGCACGAGCTACAGAAGTGATGGACTGATATGGTACAGAAGGATGTGCAGCTGATTTGGCTTGCCGATGATTGGTACCAGCAGTGTTAAGATGGGCCTCTTTGGAGGAGGTTTGTGAAGGACGCTACTGGGGTGTTTGGAGGCGGTTGCCCTCATTCAACAATGGAGGGCACAGGAGCGATTCTCACAACAACGAGTGGAGCGCCGGGCAGCTAAAATTAAGAAAGTTGGCCCAGTCGGGAGGACATTTGATCCATCTGCCAGTCATCTCAGTCAACCCATGCACTTGGGTCTCTTCCGTGACCTCCTGCCAACGAGCCTTCGACACTTCGAAGATGCGCTCCAACGTTTGCATTTCGTAGTCACGAGTGCGTGTGTGTGTGTGCGTGCGTGTGTGCGTATGTGCATGCGTGCGTGCGTTTATGCATGCGTGTGTGTGATCTTTGTCTTTGTGTGTGTGAATGCATGTGCGTGTGCCGTGCCGCGCGGCCATCACCGCCCCCAGGTATGGCAGCACAGCGACTGCATGCGCGTGGCTGGGGACGTGGAGCGGTATCTGTGCGAGGAGTGCGATCCTCGATCCATCGACAGGGTAAGACCCCCAACCACATGCGTAGATGGAGGCAAAGATTCCCCATCGTGGCTGTGGGTGAGCATCGTGGTTGTGGGTGTGGGTGAGCGTCGTGGTTGTGGGTGAGCGTCGTGTTTTGGGTGAGCGTTTTGGGTGAGCGTCGTGGTTGTGGGTGAGCGTCGTGGCTGTGGGTGAGCGTCGTGGTTGTGGGTTAGCGTCGTGTTTTGGGTGAGCGTTTTGGGTGAGCGTCGTGGTTGTGGGTGAGCGTCGTGGCTGTGGGTGAGCGTCGTGGGTGTGGGTGAGCGTCGTGGCTGTGGGTGAGCGTCGTGGTTGTGGGTGAGCGTCGTGGTTGTGGGTGAGCGTCGTGGCTGTGGGTCAGCGTTGAGGCTGTCGGTCAATGTCTCAACTGCCGCACGGGGAGATCTATTCAAACTAGCAACCTCTGTATTACGAGTCGAGTTGTGGTAAACCTTACACGGCGGCAGCATCTGTCGCACACTGACTCAGGACGAACTCCAGGGGTCTGCAAAATCGCGTCGACGCAAATGCCACAACTATGGTCAACCTTTGCGTCTTTGTGTTTTTACACAATGATGACTTCTCGTTGTTCTCCCGCTAATGTCCCCGTGCAGGAGGTGCCCATGGTTCCTCAGCCACCGTTCGCTGAGCCAGGCAGAACTTACTTCATGTGTCTGGAGCTCGACGAACTGCTCATCAAAGTGGGTGAGTGCAGATGCAACCCGCCACTGCGGTATACCGCCAGGTTCCCTATCCACGTTGCTCATTATCGGCATTCAAAGGAAAGTGTATTTCCCCCAATTTTGTATCCAAATTGTGATATCGGCGTCATTTCACGAGACCTAAGTATCCAATCGGATCCCTCACAGATCCGATTGGAAATACCCACAGAGCGACCTCTGACATCCCTTCAAGTGACCCCCAGGTCCACTCGGTAATGGACAGCAATTTTCCCATGCACCCTGACACACGAGAGATACGTCCGTTGCTCGACGGCCATATAAATATTTTTATTTGAAGAGCTGTAATCACATCGATGTGGTGATCGTGATTCTCCCTGTGCTACTTTACTAGGAGCTGCACATGTGTTTTTTAGAGTAGATGTTCCGGCCACGTAAGGTCAAGTTTACAGACAGATATGCACACACACACACACACATGCACATACAAAGATCCCCCGTATAGCCTTAACAGACTGTTGGGGAAGGTGCTGTTCGCACCTTTAAAGGTCGGCACAGCACATGAAGGAGGTGGTGTGACATCTATGTGTGCTGTGACATCTGTTTGTATGTGCTGCGACATTTCTGTGTCTGTGTGTGCGATGACATCTACGTGTGCTGTGACATCTCCCCGTGTGTCTATGCTGTAGGCGACTGCACGTATGCGTCCCGGGAGCTCCCTCCTCGGCGGTTCCCCCCTCGCCGTGCGGGGCAGTCGCCCTCCGACCCTAAATCCCTGGACATCATGCGCATTGAGAAGCTGTGGAAGGACGACAGGTGACTTTTGCATCACCGCACAAACATTATAGTTGAGGTAAGGGCGGTAAATGTGCAGCCCTGCATGAGGCTGCGGATGTCTCGTGTGATGCAAAGGGCATTGCTGATCCCAGCGTGAAACATACACAAGCCGAGCTCCCTTCTCTGCCTCCACATACAAATATACTTTAGTATATATATTTTCGTATATATTTGTATTGCTTAAGCAAGCAAACTCTGGACAGGTTTTGACATTCTCTCTCGTCAGCAGAGTCACCCTTGTTAAACAAATGCTGCTGTGCGATCACATGTTATTAGAAACATCACTCCATGTAAACATCGGTCTGGAATGCCAATAGACCGACTTCCTATGTCCTGCCACCACAGTCCAGTATCGGATGTGTGGTGAGGCTCTCCAATGTGCACAGCTCCTCCGATGAGACGACAGACCTCACACATGCTCCAGTCTTGTGTTTCACCGTGGTCACACGTGTCAGGGTGGCTACAGTAACCCCAAATGCGTCAGGGTCGCTAGATTATCCCCACTTCCACATATTGACCTTTGCCACCGCTGACTTGTTCGAAAATGACTACGGTATGTCCAGGCCGACCCGTCTTGTCTGCACCATCGACGAGGCATTCTGCAACGTCGATGTGCATTTACAGTCCGTTTCCACCGATGATTTTTCACGATGTTCCTTTGCGGCTAGAAACCTTTTTCCGTGGTTTCAGACGGCCATAGTTTATTTTTGTTCAACAGGATTAGAATTAGACAAACCCGGGATAGCTTCGTTTGCAAGAGTTACCTGGGACATTGGCCTACCGGAAGGGGGCGATGATTGCTGTGCCTTATCCCAATTGAGTAGCATGGCCATTCGGTGGATGTCTGGCGACAATTCAACACGTCTTGATCGTTCCATTTTGCTCGCGACCGACCGCTCCGCTGGTGTGCCCGGTGTTCGGCGCGAAGCCTGCGATCACGCACAGGCGGTTAACACCCTGTTGATTTTTGTTGGCGTCCGATAATGCATCGGCAGCCGTAGTTCGGCGCCCGACGGGCGACCAAAGTCTCACGCCTTGTTTACGTGCAGAGGCACTGCTCGTGGAGGCCTGTTTAGACACGTTTACTGTCCGTGATGCTGCCCAGCTTGAAACGATCAAATGCGGGGGGGACTCGGCAGGGTTGAGCGGGGCGCCGCAGCCGCGGGAAGCGCCGCTAAGTGCCCTCGAGTGGAGTTCACTCAACGCTCCGAACCGGTTGCGCCCGTGAAACGCGACGGAATGTGACGGAGTCACCGGGTGTATTTTTTTCGAAGTTTTAAAAAATCTCACTTTTCAGGAGCTGTTTGTTTTCTCAGCCTAATCCGTAGGTCTCTCGTTTTTGTATTTCCTCTGCCAGAAAACGGTCTGTCATTATAAATTTAAATATGATGTATATCGAATATATTGCAGATGAATATATTTATTTTCGTTGAAGCAACAGCCAGACACCTGCAAAAAGGAGACGTTCCATCTCAAAGGGAATATCCAGATTGTAATAAAAACATTAAAAATATTATAATTGTCAGATACCATTTCAAATAAATGTTGTGCTCGTTTAAAATGTATTTTCAAATAATGATTGGTGGATAGAGCCACTTTAGATGTTGAGTTTTCAATTAAATTCAGCTCCTGCAACGAGGTTTTTAATTTGTTGACGATAGTTCCCGGAAGAAGATGATGCCACGGACCCAGTACTGTAGGAGTTGGTCCAATAGGAGGCACTTCATTAGGACTCACTCACCCTCCATCAGCACTCACCCCAACAGTCTGTGTAGGCTGTTAAGGGTGCATTTGTATCTTTGTGTGAATATATATGTCTGTGTCTGTTTATGGGGAGTGGTAGTTTAGCGGGTTAGGACACTATGCCGTGAAGCCGGCGACCCGAGTTTGATTCTCGCTCACGGCCATGACCAGTGACGAACATCTGGACCGATGCTGGGCCTCCTCCAGGTCGACTCAGCCTCAAATGAGTACCTGGTGCGATATTTGAACATCGCCACTGGGGAGAGAAAGGCGGTCGGGTGTGGTGCTGGCCACCCACTGTCTCGTATGACATGCTGGCCTTAACAGGTGCTCGCTAACAGCGCTTGCCCAAACCAGTCTGTTTTAAGGCTACACGGGGGGCTGTGCTGTTATTTTTACTTTCCCCCGCACCTTCCGATTAGCACGATTGGCTATGTATGTTGCGAAAGAAGTTCAACAAGCTTACATATAGCGGGCTATAGGGGGGTATGTTTGTTTTTCACTATGTATATATGTGTCTATGTATATACGTGTCTATGTATATACGTGTCTATGTATATACGTGTCTCTGCGTCTGTGACTGCGCGAGCAGCGGAGAGCGCTTCGCCTATGGGTACCACTACCTGCGCCCGGAGCAGACGCACCACACGCCGTCGCGTCGCTTCTTCCCCAACGAGCTGTTCCGCGTGCCGGTGTACGAGACGATGCCGCTGCACGCCGTGGAGGCGCATTGCTGGGTGCTCGACCAGTCCACGTACTGCAAGGGTGGGCCCTGCCTCCCACGCACGGCACGCACGGCACGCACGGCACGCACGGCGGCAACCCCCCGAAGCACACGCGCCGGCACCGGCACCTGCACTCGCGTGCGGGGCGGGCATCGTCGGCGCGGCCAGCGCCGGCACGATTAAAAAACGCCATCGCCGCTGCGAGCACCATCGCCGCACTGCTACCAGCCGCTGGTCGGTCGCTGCCGCCATTAGGCTTTGTAATCGATGCCATACTCATCGACACTACCGTCGTTACTGCCAAGGACAAAGATCGCCGGTGTAACCTTAACAGGCTGTTGGGGCAAGTGCTGTTAGCGAGCACCTGTGAGTGCTGGCACGGCACACGAGTGGGTGGGTGGCCAGCACCACGCCAGCGCGGTCACCCGCTTTCGTCGGCGCTGGCAATTTGGGCAGAACCATCGCCACTGCAAGCACCATCACTGTTTTCATTCTGGTGAATACCATTGGAATCGCAACCAGTCGCCGCCGTTCCCACCGTCATCACCATCAGTACCCGCCATTCGATACTAAGTGACAGTGACGTCACCACGGCGCCTGTGCCAGGCCAGGTGCACTTTGGGGCAAGGCTCGCTGACAGGAGGTCTCGGGACAGACCCACGTGCCATGGGTTGGCTGATTGAGATGACTGCGAGATGTACCAGTTGTACCACTGCACCCCCTACTTTGCCACCACCTTCATCACCAACACTTGCACGGTCACCTCCACCATCATCAACACCATCACCACATACCAACGCAATCACCACTCATAATAAAGATTTTTGGGTTAGATTGCATTATTTATAAATGTGTCGCAACCCTCCACCACCCACACGACCAATCAGTAAAAAAATGTGTCACGTTGACAAAAGACAAATAGTTCACTATGTGTGTTATAATTTGAGTACGACGTTTCGCTTGAAATTACATCCAGCATCTTCGGGAGATTTGCCAGAATAGTGAAGCCATCCACCTGCTTCCGGTCTTAAATAGTGCAGAATGACGTCATCATTGTTGAACCCCATCAGGTTTCGAGATCAGAGGTGGGGGTGGGGGTGTATACAATTATGTAATAGATCAGTAATCAGCCACTTAGCATGTGACTCACCTAAAGTAGTTAACTATTTGTCTTTTTCGATTTAAAGCTTTCGTGACTGCAGGGATTCATATTCTTGGTTCTTTCGGTAAAGTCACGTAGAAGGGAAATAATAAAATAAGAAAAATAAAACAATAAAATTCTCACGACGTTTCGATTGCAACACAAGCAATCGTCATCTGGTGTGAAAACCACAGCAAGAAAATTTGAAAAAAGTAAAAAAACCGCCACTTTTTTTCAAATCTTTTTGCTGTGGTTTTCACACCTGATTATGATTGCTTGTGTTGCAATCGAAACGTCGTGAGAATTTTATTGTTTAATTTTTATTATTTTATTATTTCCCTTCTACGTGACCTTACCGAAAGAACCAAGAATATTTGTCTTTTGTCAACGTGGCACATTTTTTACTGATTGGCCGTGTCGGGTGGTGGAGGGTTGCGACACATTTATATATAACTCGATCTAACCCAAAAAACCTTTATTATGGTCGCGAAAGCCTACGTGTTAAACAATCACCACTGCCATTACCACTATTATCACCACTACCAGCACCATCATCAACACCACTGCCATTGCTACCCACCAGCATTACCGCCATTACCATCATTACACCAGGCCGTTTGATATTAATATGGACTTTACACCACAACTGATATCAACATTTTAGCCACCGGATAACAATTCTAAGATGATTGTTTGACTTTGCCTTGTGGCAGAGAATGAATGCCAAGGTCAAAGGCAATGGGGGGGAACATTGCCCATGAGGCCTCTTGAGTCATTTGTGATTTTCATTATTTATTTGGTTGTTTCCGCATAATTAATTCTTAATAATGTTTAACCATGATCCGGTCAGGGTTCAGGCCATCCGTTAGTCATTGGCGTCACGTTTCATCATTGTCAGCGGTAATATATTAAAAAATATTGATTCGGTTGCATCAATTTTACCCTCAATGAATGGCGACTGCAAACACACATATCCATTTCCGCTGTGTGTGTGTGTGTCTCTGTCTCTTTTCTTGTTTAATAGTTACACAGTGAGTGAATGTTGCAGTGATCAATGCTCTCACTAATCAGCTGGTTTGCTTGCAAAGTTGACAATTTGATTCCCGTAGCAGCCTCCTTAAAATTGATTTGGGTGAAATTGTCGGAACGTTACGTCCGCTGTAGAGCAAGCGTGCGTTAAAGACCCTTCTCAAGATTGTTCGCAAGAGCACGTGCTTTCTAAGTCGTTGTCGCAGACAAATTAAAAACGTTCAGGAAATTAAATTGAAGCTGGTTGTGGTAGGACGCGCGCCTATTCAAGGGTTGATGTATCATGCGGAACCGTTGACACTTTCAGACCTGCTGGGCGATGAGGTGGCCAGGCAGCACAGCAAGTGGGTTTCGCAAGCCTGTGTTAACAGACTTTTCAGTGTTATTCCTTCACGTGGGTTTGATCTCTCCGGTTTCTCTGATCTCTTCCCATGTGCAAAGCAATCTGCAAAATGGAGTTTTGTGAAAACACAATCCAATTCAGGACCCTCATAAAAAAGAGTTTTCAGACTCCTGGATGCCTGCATGTCATTATTATAGTTTTCAAATTTCCCTTGGAATACATACTCCCATTACTCAATGTATATGTTAATGTGGGAGCTCATGTGGATAAATAGCAACCGTTTCCTATATTCATGCAGGAAAGCTTCACTGAATCTCAAGGATATTTTTTTTTTTAGGAGAGGCTCTACATTGTGAACAGCTGGTCGATCGGCAGGTGGAATGTGGATGCGGTAAAGTGTGGGCACTGCCACTGCTTCTCAGACGTCTGCCCCGCGTGGAAGGGTGATGCCAATTACCGTGTAGGGAGGCTCTCCTGAGCCTCGCTCTGTGAAGGTGCTTCCTGCCAGCAAGTGGCATGAGCCAGTAATTGCAGGGACTGTGCCTTTACCGACATTGGGACGTTTTCTCTTCTTCTTGCAATCCCTTAATGAGTTTGTTGCGTGTGGGAGGAAATCGGAGCACACGGAGAAAATCCAATATCTCCGCGTGTGCGATATTAATGCATCGGAGCGGAGCGTCACAACTCAGCCCTGCAGGGCCCTGCCAGCTTCTGCACCCCCCCCCACCCTGCCCCCCGCCCCCCATCAGACAGCTCGCGCAATTAACATCACGGGGCTGCACCGGCACGCACGGCCGGCCTCTAAATCACCACCGCACCCCCCCTCTCCTCTCCCCCTCACGCAGAACGCGCCGTGGCCGATGTGTCGTGGATTCTGCAGTTTGCATTCAGTTGGCGTGACCTGACTGACAGCACACGCACGCCTTCTGGCTCAGATTCTGCGTTTGAACCCAGAGTGGCCTGCAGTGATTACATTGGGTCATCAGGCTTACCAGCACGAGCACAGCCCTCTCTGTCAATCCCACTGCCAGATGAGGGCCTCCTCCCCCCGTGCACGTGCGGTGTCGTGGGAACTATTTGACCCTCTGCTCACCGCGGCTGACCAGCGCTGGGTTGGTGAGAGAGTTTGAAGGCAGGGAACATGGACGTGGGAGCATAGCAGTAGGGTGCAACAATACGTTTTGCTGCACCGTCGTCTCTGCTGCCCCTGCAGCCTGCAAACACCGCAGGCTGCGCCGCATACATCCGAGCACGAGCCGGGCTCCAACCTGCTTGGCTTCCAAGATCCAATGCAATCGGGCACATTCTGGCTGATTTTCTCAGAGGCCATTTATACGTATATATGTTTCAAACCACACCATTGCAAAAGGGGGGCTCGGTGGCTGACGTGGTTAACATAGTCCAAGAGAGCAAGGAGCCAGCATCTGCTGTAGGACGTTGTGTTGCAGTCTGGGCAGCCAGGTTTCTTTACAGATTTCAGCTGATAGCAGCAGCAGCAGCTAAAGCAGTTTGCCGAGGTGAGCGGTCAGCTCAGGGGACGTATCATGATTGTTAGAGTCAAGTGACAGCACTGCTAGGGTCCTGGGTTTAAGTGAATTTAGTTTCTGGGTCTCAGCCCAGTCACTAATTACTGCCACAAAACAACTGTATTTTTTAAGAAATGTTTTTTTTAATTAAATCTCTCATCTGGGGTGGAGCGGTGGCGCAGTGGCTAGTGCATTGCGCCGTGAACCTGGCGACCCGAGTGCGATTCCCGGCCCCGGCTAACATTCACGGCGAGTGATATGAAACACCGGAGCAAATTTTGTGACGTTACGGTTTGTTTATTTGCTTTGCAGTAATTGGTGGCCGTGGATGGGGCAATCTAACATGTACACGTGTGGTACAGGGAGTGGAGAAGTGGCACAGTAATTGGCACTGCACCGCACCGTGAACACGGCCTCGGCTAACATCGGTGGCGACGGGGGAGAGGTGGGGGAGGCGGGGGAGATATCGGAACCGGTCTTGGGCTCCCACCTACCACCAGTTACACTGCCCAGCGGCGACAAAGTGTGGAAAAAATAATCCCCTATGACCATCGTCCAGCAGTGGATTGGCAAAAGGGCTGTATATGCACGTAGGCATAAGTGGGGAGATCCGTGTCTCCTACGTGTTGGAGGCAGTGGTGAATCCGTTAGCTCGTCTCTGGACCTCATTTGTTGTAAGAAAAAAAAATAACCTCGGTGATGAATCATCACTATAAATCTTGTGTCCCTTCACCTCCTTCAGCAGCAAGTCCCAGTGGCACACGCAGCGTTTAATGAGCACCCAATCAATAACTGTGAAATTGGAAGTCAGCCCCGACGATACATTATTTCTCTGTTTACCCCAGACATCCTCGCTGAGTCTGAATGCTTTGTCGGGAGCGCTTGCCTGCGGCGCTCTGCGTGTGTGCGCAGTTTGAGTACAGTGTTCTCTGAAATGCGTGGGTTTTCTCTGTGCGTTCAAGTGTTCTTTGCTCCCACATGCTTTTGCAAATCAGAAAGAAATTGGGAAGACATGCTAAGGAGGATCTTACTGATGATGAGTCTTGAGACCCGGTGAGGCTCTCCTGGTGAAGTTATCTTTTTATTATTAACGCTTTCCAACTAAGCGTTAATGCATTGGCTCATTAGGGACTTTGAGCGACTTAAAAATATGCAAATGTTTTTTTAAGGATTTACCTAGAACTTGGCAATAAAAGAAAACTGAGAATTGTTGTAAGCCTTTTTGGCCAAAACGATGGCATTGTAAGCCATCAGAAGGTAACGCTGTTATTGCTAATTAAATACTATATTTCAGTAGACAAGCATGTGTGATGAATGTTACTATATTTTTGCAACATTTTGAAATACATTGTCAACTTATCATTCCCATCTCATGTTATCCACAATCTGAATGGGCTCAAAATTTGAAATAAATATTTGACCTATATATATTTATGTTAATAATTATGCTTCAGAATTATTTGCAACCTTTGGTCAATTCATTGCTGGATAAAGGTGAGTGATGCCAATTGAGTCACGAGGGTTGTTTGACCATACTTCAACACGTTGGTCAGTGTGGATTTGTAAGTGGGGGGGGGGAAGGAGCCCAGGACCGATTCAAACATCACTCGCCTATGATGTTAGCTGGGAATCGAACTCTGTTTGCCAGGTTGATAGCGCAGTGTGGTAACCACTACGCCACCACTGCACAACCATTAGTTTGCATGGAGAGTAAATGCTTTTTTTGCTTTTAAAGTTTTAATTGTGCAACAGTGCCACCTGGCTGTTACAGTATGCATGTGTGTGTGTATATATCCTCGGCTCTCGAGCTGGTTTGCAAGTGACATAACTTTAGGTACATTTCCCAAGGAATTTCACGGTGGAAATTTGGATGTTCGCAACAGCCATGTGACAAAGAGGCAGTGTCGTAATTTTGAAGAGGGAGGCTGTAATGGTTGTTCGCACGCATGTGTACGTTTGTAGGGTGGAGGAGGGCATGTGTCAGTAGCACCCAGAGGTCAGTTACAGCGGGGATTTACATCGCAGTCTAAATGCAAGCGCATCTGAAGAGGCCAACCAATCGGTGGGACACCCTGAGGGAAGTAGACTCGATCAGTCGTTTGAAAAAGAGAAACACTGGCGGAAACGAGGCCTTGGTCCTGGACTTAAACAAGTCGAGGAGTCGACAGCGCGGACTGCCGGGGGGACGAAGTCAGCACGAAGGGCAGCAGATGAAACGGAATGACCTCCCACTGAGTGGAGGATTGACTTGAGGCTTCGACAAAAAGCCTTAGTTGCCGGAACAAAAGAGCGTGTGGAGAGGTGGCAGAAGTGTGCGTGGTGGGGAGGAGAGTAAGGTGAGGCGGGGGGGAGAAGTAGACGGGGGAAACTTTATGACCAAAGCAGGAGATGATAAGCCAAAATAGTTGGTGATGATGAGAGCGTAAGCGTGGCCCTGTATCAACTGTGCCACGGCTGCGAGCTGTGGCAGAAAGAATGAAGTGGCGCAAGGCATTGACTGCGATGGCCTATTCACCCCGACCTGTTTGTTTTGCTAACACCGACGGGACACTCGCCCCCTCCCGTTGGCAGGACGTCCCGCGGGTGCGCAGGAGAAGGACGTGTACATCTGCGACTTCCGCCTGGACAGGTCGGCGCACCTCTTCTTCAAGATTCAGCGCAACCCGTACCCCGTGTGCACGCAGCCGCACGCCTTCCAGGTCTTCCAGCAGCGTCTGCAGCCCAAGCGAAACTACACGGTCAGCAGCCCCCACGCTCACACGGCGCACGGAAACAACAGTTCAGTTAGTGTCGTCTTTAGCCAAGTGCCAGTGGGGGGTGTCCCCATAGTGTCGAGGTCAGCCCTCTACATATGTGAGCTCCCAGAGGCATATGACTGCAGTGAAAATTGATAACTGTGCTGTATTGATGAATCAAAATGAGTATGATACCAGTCAACCCGTGTATTTTTATTTGTTTCACTGCTGCCTCTTGGAATGGCTGTGCTGTCAACTCTTTTTGGCCTAATCAACAAAATTGGCCACACATTCAACTCTTGAGTTGGTGGTCTGGACAAGGCTGAGCGATTTCTAAATAGATTATGGTGGTCACATGGAAAGTGTGATGGGAATACAGTACTCCCTCGTTATTCGTGAGAGATACGTTCCGGACATGCTCGTGAATAGCAAATTTCGCGGATAATGATATTGACCTTTTAATAAACTATTAAATACATGAAAATTATAATAACGCAATGAATAAAATTGGTTATAATAAAAAAGTTAATTAAAATAAATGTTAAAGTATTCAATCATAGTTTGTAAATGAACTTACCTTAAATTGTGATCATGCTGTCAAGTGCAAGGATGCAGTAATGATGGTGCTGATGACGATGATGATGGTGGTGGTAATGATGATAATGGTGATAAACATTGTGATGTCGTTACTGCTCCCACATAGACACATTCGGATGGTGGGGGGGGTCATCCGGATCGTCCGTAGATGAGCAAGTGCTGGCAGGCGAGGCAGCGGTGGCGGACGCGGAGGTGGAAGGGAGAAGAGAGCGAGGCTGACCCTCTCTCTCTCTCGATGCAGTTGTCGTGTAGAGTTCCAGATGCGAGTCGCGGATAGCCAAAAGTTCGGATAGCAAGTTCGTGAAAAACGAGGGAATACTGTTGCGCATCGCCGATTTCGTGAGCACACGTGAGCGCGTTATTCCATCTGATTGTTTCCAGCCTGCACGCATTTTCTGTCCGTGATGGGGTTGCTCATCGTTCACAGAAACTGTTGAATTTGAACAAATGGGCGAAACGTTGGACATTGTGCTGAGCAACGCGTGGCACAACCCGCGAAAAACAAACACGGCGGAACTATTGTTTTTGTTTTATATTCATCGGTTCCTAGTAGGGACAGCACAGTTAAGTTTGACAATGGGGAATATGATAATAGCCTACCACCTATTCCATCCTTGCAAATAAATGCTCGGTCCCTTCTGCATATTGTGACTGAGTGCCCTGTGCATGTCAGCGTCTGAAGAGGTGAGAGATAATTTCTTTGTCTTTTGTTGTGTCGACAGCCCCACGAGGTACCAGATTGTTACAAGCGCAACGGAGGAAGGTAATAAACGCTGCGTTTTGCCAAGGCTAAGTGTGGAGCTGACCGGGCAGCAGGGCTGCTTGTGAACAGCCTCTGATGTTTTCCCGTGGCACGGAGAGCTGTGACCACCGATGAAACAAGGCAGCCGTGCAGGGCTGCCTTGTGATGGTTCTCCTGTGGAATTCTTGATAGGTTGCCTTCATTACCAGTTATCATGGGACGCGGTGGCGAACCCAGCCACCCAAGTTCGATTCCCGCTCGCGGCCAACACCAGTGATGAACATCTGAGCCAGTCTTGGGCGTCCCATACGTCGACCCAGCCTCAAATAATTTTTCTGTGTACGAGGCAAAAATATATTCAAATTTAAACCAAATGGCCTTGTTATTGCGAAAGAATGTGTGTAAACTTCGCCGCTCAGGAGACAACGGTGGCTGGGAATAGTGCCGTGCCAACTTTAGGAGGTGCTCATTAACAGCACTTGGCCTAACAGTTTGTTAAAGGCTATAGTAAAAAAGATTGAAAAAATGCTCATGCCACACTGTTGGTGGAATAGCCTCCACTAAAAAAATATAGCTCATGTTTGAGATGTTTCACTTGAAAATTATGATTTTTTAAATCAAACTCATTTATAATGCAATGTATATCTGCTGAAATAAACAGCAGTTTAAGACATTTAAAAAATATGATATTTCTGTGCATGAGGCTAACAAATATATTCACATCTAAACCAAATGGCCTTGTTATTGTTATTGCTGAAGAATGCCAATCGACCCAAATGTTGACAAAAATCCCACGCTACATTTCTACGCTGCCCGCTATTGATTTTGCAAAAGGTCAATGACGCACCAGCAATTCACTGCTGCGTCACGAATACAGCAATGCCGATTAACACAAAACATCAATTTGTTTTACTCCAAACGATTGCTTCCAAGGTCGACGTGGAAAAACGACAAGTACAGGCGCGGCAGCGTGGACAGGCAGCACACCTTCCGACGGGCAGAAGAGAGTTCGCACGTGGCTGCCAAGGACCCGGCCCAGGGTCCTGCGGTTGTCGGGCTAGACGAGGGCCGTGACGGCGAGGTGGTGGCGGCGACGGCGACGACGGAAGAGGCCTTGCAGCCTCTGCGCGAGGAGGCGAAGGAGGAGGCGAAGGAGGAGGAGGGGGCGACGGAGGCTCGCGAACTGGATGGCGGGGGGCAGTCTGGGGAAGAGATGGATCGCAGCGGGACCGAGCGGTTGGATTCCCTGCTGCTGAGGCTGCTGGACAAGCTTCCCGCACGCAGCGGTGAGAGAGTCTCGGACGCAGGACGACGGGGGACTCAGAGGTCAGGGCGCTGAGGCCCCCAGGCTTCTTCAGGAGGGTCATTCACATCACGGCGTAGTCGGCGAAGGACCGTTTGCGCCGAACGTGCGACTTTTGCGACGGCGTTCGCATAAACCGCTCTTGGCCGGCGTACGCCGGTGTGTCTCCAGTGATTTGATCCACGGATCACGAGAGGCGGGGGGCGACCACGGGGAGGGTGGCGCTATTTTTACTCGAGGGTCGCCGTCCGCTTCGAACGTCGACCGTCAACTGATGTGCGCAATTTAACGGAGCTTGCGCATCAAGACGGAGCGACGTGCAGGACCCTTTTAAGGAGGGTCCTGCATTCGGACGTTTGGCCAATATCAACGACAGTGTAACAAATCCTGTCACGTCTGATGTGTTCAGTTACTTTTTTTTTATTGTTGTTGTTTAGAATGTGATGAATTGCATATTTTGGCTTGTGTGTGTCTTGGTTACGTTATGATTGCCCTGCCATATAAACCCAGTCACTGTTATACATCCTGTAGCTCTACCTTGGTGCTCCCAATGTTTAACATGCTCTTAATATTTATCTTTGTGTTGTGTGTGCCACTGTCCCATGTACGTGTCTACGCGCGCACATGGGTTTGCGTGCGCCTGCATGTGTGTGCGCGTCTACACCTGTGCCGGCGTGCGCGTGTGTGTGTGTGTGTGTGCGCGTGTGTGTGTGCGCGTGTGTGTGTGTGTGTGTGCGCGTGTGTGTGTGTGTGCGTGTGTGTGTGCGTGTGTGTGTGTGTGTGTGCATGTGTGTGTGTGTGCGCGTGTGTGTGTGTGTGTGCGCGTGTGTGTGTGTGTGTGCGCGTGTGTGTGTGTGTGTGTGCGCGTGTGTGTGTGTGTGTGTGCGCGTGTGTATCTGTGCACGCGTGCGCTTGAGCGTACACGTGCCGTCTTTGCGTGCCCCATTCGCCCACCCCAACCCCCCTGCATTTGCCCTCTGTCCGCCGTTCCCTCTCCCAACCCTCCAGCAATCAACGCCTCCTACCTTTTGGGAGAAGGCAGCGGGAAAAAGCTACGCAAACGGCCAAAGGTCTCGGAGTGATGCGAATGTAGAAACGCGAGGGGGGGGGGGTGGGGGTGGGGAGAGTGCGGCGGCAGAGGAACGCAGCCGCGTGAGTGCCTTGATTGGTGGAACCGTGGCTCCTACCGCGGCGCTGAGACCACCGACGCCCGGGGCTCCTGCAGCCAAGAACGTCGCTGGAGGGCGGAGGGGGAAGGCTACGTTTGGTGGGGGTGGGGGTGGGGGGGGGGGAGAAAAATAAATCGTCGACGAGACGCAACCGGATCGTGGGAGAGACTCTTGCGTGGTCCAACGGCTTCGTGGTGGAAGACGTGGCTGGGTGGCGGATCACGGGGCGGGAGGCTGTAGCCAGTGCTGTTGTTCCTGTTGTCAGAGCACCGAAGCCAGCACTTGCCGAGGCGTCCGCGGGGAGCTGGGACCAAGCAGGGGGCGGGGGGGGGGGGTCGCTCTGGAGTGTTGCATGCTTTGACGGTCTCAGCCCGGTCACCGTACGACCGCACGACAAAACTCGCCGCAGGATTTGATTTTTTTTGCACTTTGATCCGTCCGAGTGCGGCTCTGCCGGGGGGGGGGGGTGGTTGGGGGGCTCATTCGAGGTGTCGCGGAGATGGAGCGAAAGTGCTTCGCCCGATCCACACGTGGTAAGGTAGACCCTTGAAGGATGGGGAAGATCTTGTAGTGGTTGCTTCGCGTCATTTTACATTCGTTGCGTGTGGCGGGGGGGCGGGGGTGACCTGTAACACAGTGTGTATTAAAATAGTGCGCATTAAAGGTCTTAAAATACGTGGAAGCATTTGCGGTAAAAAAATGTATTTTCCCATACGTACACATTGTCAGTTTCTACTTACATTGGGCAGCCTGGAGCCAGAACCGGGGGCCCCCGATTCATGTAGAGGTTTCAAGCATTTACTCGATCCCTGCATCGTCCGGTGGAAACTCCGCAACACAAATTATTCCGCTAAAATTGTAGATTTGTGGCTCGATTCCCCATTGCGGAAAATTGGTTGAAGCCCCCCTGCCGCCCCCCTCCCCACTCTCTGCACGTAAACGGTCGGTAGCTGGTGGAGTGCCGACAGGAGCCACCGCTGCCTTTACATGCCGACGTGAGAACAATTCGCCCCCGCCAGCGGACTTAGCCGACCGCTCGGGGCTCCGCACGTGCTCACGTACGTGTGAGAGCATCGCCCTCCACGTGCTCACGCACGCGTGAGAGTATCGCCCTTAAGCCAAAAACAGTTAAAGCTACTTAGAAACGCCGATGATGATGATGATTACAATGGTGAAGATGATGGACGAGGATTATAATTTTGTAATGATGAGCAGGATAAAGGATAATAATGAATAAAATAATAGCGATTATAATTATGATTGTGGTGGAAACAATCATTGTGATCATGAAGATGCCAATAATTATGGTGATTATGACAACTGTGAGAAATGAAAACGATGATAATGATGCTGATGCTGCTGCGGTAGTTGATGATGGTGATGATCCACCAACCACAACATCCACCTCCCCACGATGAGCCATTTACACTACCCAGAATTAATTGCGGTTGAATTGGTGCATGCTTGTGAGGCATGGACCCCCACATGAATTAAAATGGCTACATGAATCGATCCCCTGGCTTCTTGATAATCTTTATTGCATTGCCTCGTTTGTAACGGGAAGACGATGTATCATTTACTCATGGCCTTGGCATCTGAATACATCATGATGACCTCTTGTTTGTAAACCAATTGTTATAATTGTCTTTCATCAATATTTTTTAACTGATGTTAGTAATGCTGTGCTGTTTTTCAGTATTTTTTTAACAATAAAATTGTAGTTGTTGATCATCACACATTTATATTTTTCCCATAAAAAACTTGTGATGGCAAAGAGACCCACTTTACTACAAGGAATTCGTCTAGATTTATTTTGCCCACGGCTTGTAGCCACTTTCAGGGCTGCAGAGAGAAGTAGGCGAGCATCCTGTCTGCAGTAGGCTTCAATCATGGGCCTCATTTGAAATGTCTATTGACCACATTCGACGTGACATTTTCTCTACAGAATGTTAGTCTCGAACACATTTATCCGCAGATGCATCGGCAAGTTGTGAGACCTCAAAACCTCAGAACATTAGGATGCACGCTGGCTGCAGCTGATGCCTAAACCGTGTTTCCAATTCTACATATGAGGACAGTTCAATCAGAAATTCAACGTGTGCCTAAATGGACTGGAACAGCAGGTGACAACACAGGAAGAGTATTTGAATTCTATTTAAATTAAGTTGTAAACTGAGCTTATCAGACTGCAAAGCTTAAATCCCAAGCTTTCATCAGCCTCTCTATGTGTTGCTTATTACCAAGAGCAGCCATTCCTGAGGATGTGACCAGCCTCCAAATACAAACACAGATCCCTGGATGCAAACGGTGACTTAATAGCCAGGGAAGTTGGAGGTAGCCTGATGCCTCTGAGGTCAGAGCGCTGAGCTGATACTGCTGAGATTCGGGGTTTGAATGCAGCTCCCGATGATTATACAATATTCTAAATTATAGCGTGTTCATGGTCTTAGCCTGGTCAATCGTGACTGTTCAAAGAAACCAATATTAATTTTGGTTCAGCATTTTGGCTAAATTCCGAGTTTTGAGGATTAATGAATTGTTCACTGCCATGTGAGTAATATATATCACTGTCAGCGGCAGTGTGCAGGTTAGCACCGCTGTGCGAGAGGCCAGCAATGCATTATTCCTCTCGTGATGTGACACTACCAAAATAGCACAATTGGGCTTAAATTTTTGGGAAAAATTAAAAAAATTCTTTTCAAAAGCCAAGAGACGTACACTGTGCTCCAGGAAACACAATTCCTCCTGCAAGTGCAGATCGAATCCTCTTTTTCTGAGGCTTTAAGGGATTTTAGGTTTCCCCCAGCTACTGTGTACATATACTGTGTTATGCCGCATGTATCTGTGCATATCGGTACTGTGTACATATACGTACTTATGTGTGCGTAGTACGTATACTGTGTGTATACACGTGAATGCATGGGAGCAGTCAAAACGTGATGAGTGTGAGATGGTAAACTTCTCACATTTGGTTTTGATTATTTGAATTCCATAATCATACTATTTATCTGCCTGCGTGGTGTGCAACGGTTCAGAGCTTGTGACTCGCAAACAGGAGGTTTAACACGTAGGCTTTTGCGACCAATATTCATTAAAAAAGGTTTTTGGGTTAGATTTTGTAAGTGTAAATTTATCGTAACCCTCCCAAGCGAAACATCGTACTACTCAAATTGTAGATGTTGTGGATTTACTCTCCAACACAGTGGTGGGCTGAAGTAGTAACTAATTGGTACGTTTTGTTTGTGACAAACCTTATTGGCTGTGTCGGGTGGTGGAGGGTCACGACACATTTATGCTTACGCAATCTAATCCAGAAACTTGTAAATTTTGATTGAAAGCTTTCGTGACTGCAAGGATTCATATTCTTGGTTCTTTCGGTATAGTCACGTAGAAGGGAAACAAAATAATACAAATATAAAACAATAAACTTTTCACGACGTTTCGACTGCAACACAAGCAATCATCATCATCAGGTGTGAAAACCACAACAAGAACATTTTAAAAAAGTGGCGGTTTATTTTTAACGTTAGCACCACGGAGAGCGATTTGGCAGTTTGTTCAGATGGACGAGTCCATCTATGTTCGGAAAAGAGGAGGGGGGAGACGAAAATAATGGATGCAGTCTGAAAGCCACCGTAAGCGTGAACAATCAATTAAGACCCGAAATGGTTTATCAAATCCTTCCAATGATTGCTCAGCCAGAATCCATCTCGGTTGAAATTGTCTCTGTGTTTGTATATGTGGATAGCCTCATGAACGAATCTCTCATGGTAGCCAGATTGCTAGCAAAGAACCTCTGTCTTGAAGAAGTCAATGTCATGTGAGCCTACTGAATTATAACAGTGATCTGTCATGGCCGAGGTGTTGGTCCTCCCGTGTTTTAAGTCTGCTTTGTGTTCACGAATGCGGTCCAAGACATGTCGTTTGGTTTCTCCAATGTAACTACTACCACAGAGGCAACTTAGTTTGTAGACGCCAGGGTACTGTATGTCCGGAATCACATCTTTTACAGACGGAACCAGATCACGGATTTTATGTAATGTGTTTAATCGGACCTGGATCTTGTGTTTATTCAAGATTTTGGAGATCTTTTTTTTTATCCCTGCAATGTAGGGTAAAGTGATGGTTTTGAAAGGCTCAAGCACGTACACCAAGCTCTTAAGGCTAATGGTTACTCCGATTACACAATCCGCAAAGCTATCACTCCAACCATGAAGAAGGACCCTCTTGAGGAGCCTTTCAAAACCATCACTTTACCCTACATTGCGGGGATCACAAAAAAGGTCTACAAATTCTTGAATAAACACAAAATCCAGGTCCGATTCAGCACATTACATAAAATCCGTGCTCTGGTTCCGTCTGTAAAAGATGTGATTCCGGACATACAGTACCCTGGCGTCTACAAACTAAGTTGCCTCTGTGGTAGTAGTTACATTGGAGAAACCAAACGACATGTCTCGGACCGCATTCGTGAACACAAAGCAGACTAAAACACGGTAGGACCAACACCTCGGCCGTGGCAGATCACTGTTATAATTCAGTAGGCTCACATGACATTGACTCCTCCAAGACAGAGGTTCTTTGCTAGCAATCTGGCTACCATGAGAGATTCGTTCATGAGGCTATCCACATATACAAACACAGAGACAATTTCAACCGAGAAGATGGATGCTGGCTTAGCAATTATTGGAAGGATTTGATAAACCATTTTGGGTCTTAATTGATTGTTCACGCTTATGGTGGCTTTCAGACCGCATCCATTATTTTCGTCTCCCCCCACCTCTTTTCCGAACATAGATGGACTCGTCCATCTGAATAACTGCCAAATCACTCTCCGTGGTGCTAACGTTTAAAAAAAACGCCACTTTTTTCAAATTTTCTTGCTGTGGTTTTCACACCTGATGATGATTGCTTGTGTTGCATTCGAAACGCCGTGATAATTTTATTGTTTTATATTTTTATTCTTTTATTGTTTCCCTTCTACGTGACTTTACCAAAAACCTTTATTATGAATTTGGATGTTGCAAATTCAAAATCCCAGTCCTTTTCCCGAGTCAACGAAAAATGAGTTGCGGCTTTGTGCAAAGTTAACAATGGTCATGGTTTAGATATTCTTGCCACTGCCATAGGAATGTGTAATTTCCACCAGTGGTTCAGGGATGTAATGAAGGGGAGAGGCACTGCCGCAGCTTTGTTTGAGCAGGAATCCGTTTTTATTTTCACAGTAAATTGTGCAGCCACAGGAAGAAAAAAACATTGCTTCTGAGAGGTTCCCATTTAAAATAATTAATGTTGCTGGATGGGTTTGGATTAGGACTGCCACCCGTTCGAGTTTGACTCGGACAGTCTGGGAATTTGCATCTGTGTGCGGGGTGACATGAATTGATGTATGCTTAGATTTGGTACAGGAATTGTGCTGACTTTTATTCCAGGATAGTACACGGTTTTGATAGACCGAGGCTGACCGAGAAATAGGTCTGGGTTTGGTCTCACGTGGAAAGAGGTGGAGACCCAACCGAGGAGGCTGGCACGGTGCCAGAGTAAGCTGACACGGCTGAGATTCTGGGTTCATTTACAGGATTCACCAAGATCGATCTCAGTCTAATGACCGAAGCCTGGTTACTAATGACTGCGCAAATGACAAATATCCCGTGATGGTGTATAAATCCACTTTCTGTGGCCGAGCTCAGCTCTCATGGACACCAATTACGAGATGATCGACATACCGGGTGAGAGAGAGGTCCGTTGAAGTGACGCCAGAAGTATTTCTGCGGTATGGTATTTCAAGGCTATTTTGACACATGGTGAGCGCATCGGTAGCCGAGAGAGTTCCATCGTATGGAAGCTTCGTTTGGTGCCGTGAAATGATGCCGCTACGCAATAGAATGTATTCGCAGGGGAGTTTTATTTGGAATGAAACTACACTCATGGGTGTGTGCGATTCAACTGAAGACATTTTGACTGCTACTCATATGAACAGTATTCGTACACTGCTGATGCTCTTCAGGGATGTTACGATTCAGCGCATCCGCGCATCGCTAAACCGTCACGGGTTGGTGTAAAAATGTACTTAGCAAATACATTTTTTTCTAGCTCTCCGATATATTTGTGGGTTTTACCCAGTGTTGTTCGGCACGATGCCCAACGTTTCGCTTCAGTTCATCAAGAAGCTCACAGCTTAGCGTTGGACATGACACCAAACAACGCTCGGTACAAACTGAACACACCGGAGAGCTTTCCAGCACAACAGCAATATCCAACTCGGTGACGTAACTTATCTGCCATGGTGGTGGCAATGTCTATTGGTTTTTATGTACCAATCACATGGAATACATGTATTCATTGGAAATAATGGATTCTTATAGGCACAATTTAAATGATGTATTATGAGCAGAGGAATCGACTTTAATCTGAAGGACAAATTCATCATTACATCCGCATTATGTGAGGTACGGGGCCCGATTCGTGTGTTGGCGGACGTTCATTCCCGTCCCGATTTTTTGGCGAAACGGCGCCATCTCCGGCGCCGGTAACCCAGTGCGGCTTCACCCCTTTTTTCGCCGGCGTGGGAAATCTGGCCCACGGGGGATGCCTGTGGGTGGCCGAGTCGCCCTGGCGCTTGCCCCGCTGATGAGCCCAGATTGCGTGGAAACTCGACGGTCCGATTCCCTCGCAGCTGCTTGGTAAAAATTTTTTATCGGGGTCGGAAATCGGCAAAGCACATTGCCGTGTGGCTGGGAGCGTACAGCGACGCTCTAGGCCACCGCGGGAGGGCATCGGCGTGGCCCGGTTCAGCAAATCCAAACACTTCTCCTTGCTCGCAAAAGATATACCCCCTGTCCACGCGTAATGACTCATAATTGTCGTGCATCCAGGTCTTGCTGGAGACGTAACGAGGTTTTGTCGGGGCTGTCGCCTGGCTCGGACGCAGCAATGGACGTTGACTTCCCGTGCGCGCGCGTGCGTGCGCTCCGGCAGTTTTTGTACACTTAAGACGTGCTGGCAAATGCGTTGTGAGTTCACTCTCACTCTTGTCTTCTGCTGTCTCTCTCTCTCTCTCTGTCTCTCTGAAGTGTCTGGGTGGCTGTGATAAGAGAGTTTGTCCTGTTCGGAGAATGGACTGTTGTTTTAGGAATGTAGAGTTTCCAACACTTATCACATCGTGACTTTGGGGCGGTCAGTAAAATGAGTACAACTTTGTGTAAGGTCAACAGTGTTGTCATTCTGCGGAGAAAGTGGCACTGATGGCACAAATTCCACGTAGTGGTTGATGTGGAATATCCCCACACTGGTTCATAGCTGATAAACGCTTTGTTGATTAAACCAATGGAGATTAACATTTAAAATGTGTGAAGTCATTTTTGGAATATTTTATCTCAAGACGAAGATTCCCCATAAAGCCTACATTGGCTGTTGCGGCATGTGCTGTTAGCGAGCACCTATATGATACGAAAACAAACATCACCCTGATAGCCGTGAACAGAGTGTTGGGGAAAGTGCTCTTACCATCCGCCTTTTTTAAGAATGGCATGAGCAAGTGGTGTTACCAGCACCACGCTCAGCCACGTTTGTCTCCCAAGTGCTGATTTAACACACCGCACCAGGTACTAATTTAAGGCCGAGTCGACCCAGGGGAGGGCCAGGAGCAGTTCAGATATTAGCCACTGATGTTGGCCGTGGCCGGGAACCGAACTCGGGTCGCCAGATTCGTAGCGCAGTGCACGAACCACTACAATACCGCTTGCCACCTGTCAAGCACACACACACGCGTGTGCAGGGCCACACAGCCATGGCCACATTCATTGCTTCTGCACTGCAGGTAGTGGGGTCGAACGTGTCTATGCCGCTGCATGGAGCATAACCAAAGCTTGAAGGTTGTTGCTGCAGCGTCGTATGTATGATGAACCTCTCGCACCGTGCGTAGCCAACCGCGCTAATCAGAGGAGTGGTCGAAGGACAACAAACTAAACACAAAAAGCAGTTCTAAAGAAATGGGTTTTCAATCTAGATGATTCAAAAGTGCACAGCTCCAGTGGCTTCCTCGTATCGGAAGGAAGAGCGTTCCAGACGGCCGCAGAAGTGTTTACCGCAGAGAGAGAGAGAGAAAAACGGGAGAGAAGTACTGGGAGACCCGGGAGTTACTATTTGTTTATTCTGTCGCTTTGTGAATAACTTTCTCGGAAACGTAAAGTGAAGCTCCATGAACGCTGGCTTTGAAGGTTGCCGTTATCCGTGCGTGTTACCATGAATGTAAATTGACTCGCTCGTGTCTCCCCCCCCCCCCCCAACAACGCAACTAATGCACTTTCGGACGTGTTTGGACCTTCCCAGGGTGGTAACATCCCCTTTGGGATTCGCATGCTTCCTACCTTCCTTTTTTTTGTACATAAAAATTTTACCAAACAAACAACAACAACAACCCCCCTTGCCCAACTGATCGATTCCACACGCTCCTTCCACCAACCACACACACACACCGAACCCATAACCGTAGCTGTTTGTTGTGTAGTTGACTCTTTTTTTTTGTAAATGAAATACAAAACGAGGGGTGAGGGATACACAAAAAAAAGCATTGATGGATTTGTGTACAATGAAAAAAATTGGGGCACCATCATATCGCCTATTTTGCTATTTTTAAAGTGAGATAGTCTGTGTACAGTGGTGACGTTGATGAGTATGTAATACTCAATGTGGTGTATCTTCTGTTTGCTGTTATAGGAATTCTCGTCTGTAAAAGTGTTTGGTGTCAAACACTAATTATCTGCTGTTCTGGCAAAAAAAAGCTATATATTTTTGTTCTTTTTGAGAAGCAAGTAAACGTCATACCAAGTCGCGGGGTTTTGTGGTGTTTATTGCGTTTGCTAGAACACAATTGCAAAGACATGTTAAAAATAAAGAAGTATGGTATATAAGTACGGTATATTAAAACGTTTAAACGAAAACGTTACCGATCCCCCATTGTTTTTCCTGAAACGTGGAGCAACAAAACGCCAAGAAGTCTCTTTGCAAGCCAAACTAATTGACTACTACAACTGCATTTGATAGCAAATTGGGGGGTGGGCGAAATGTTTTAGCGTTTAAGCTGCTTTACAATGGCCAAGTTGGAAAATCGAAACGGAAAGTAAAAGTTCATTATGTTCAAGTTTGCGTGTGAACCTGCAAAGGCAACTGCTGCGTTTTAATTCAATTCCAGCGGTTAAAATGCAAAAAACAAACCAAGTCTCTTAAAAAAATATATTTTATAACGTAAACTGTATATTAAAACATAAACTATATCTCATCCATTGTAATATCACAGATACTTGATATTTGTATTGTGATCTAGTTATTTGTTTTTTAACATGTATACAATTATAAATGTGTTTTTTTATTCTGTTGTAAAAAAAGAATTCCCATCCCCCCAAAAAGCAAAGCTTGCATCGTATGAATCCAATAGGCCCTTTCGAAAAAAATAGTGAAAAGCGCAGCTCCCTGCAATGACTTTGCTCACCCCACTGCCGGCTGAAGGGCCTCCTCGAGAGAGGCCCCCTCCAAAAATCTTGGCCATGATGGTGGGGAGAACCTTGGGAAGAAGGCCACAGAGTAACCCACCGCTCTACCCCGTCACACACCACGACCCTGCCGCTCAACCTCGCTCTGGTTTGAAGACGATGTTCACCCACGCCGTTGGCAACTCCCCGAGGCGTACGAGCTACCGGGGGTGGGCGCTCCAACGTTGCGGAGAAGAGGGGAGCTTGGAAGAGTGGAAACGCGCCACGAAGTGACACCAACGTTTTGAACTGGACGCCGGTGAAATTCTATTTATTCGCGTTAATGGAATTTTTTTTCAATTTGACGTCAAATAAAATCAAATAATTTGGTATTCGTGCCATTCTTATGACGCCACGGCTATCACAAATACGCCATGGCTCTTCACAAATGACGATAGTCTGTAGTAGTTTCACAATAGTGGGGGGGTGGGCGGGGGAGGTGACATTACTTATGCAATTAAGTAATTTGTGATGAAGTTCGAAATGCAATTTGGACCGCGACGACAGCACCACATGGCCTGCTCTTTTGCCTAATAGCGTCACGACATTATGAACGTCAACCGCGATGCCGTGCGTCTATTGTTTGTACACCGCCCACTTTTCAGCAATTAATCAGGGAGGCCCGCTGGCCTTCAACTGCAAACCTTCGCAACGAGCGGCAAACGAGCTGCAGCTTCGTTGCCATCACTGCCGGCCCCCTCCCCGAGAGCGCGGTACGTGTTTAGTTTTCAGGATGAACAATTCTCATGGTGGCTGGATGGTTCGTGGTGTTCGCAATGACCGTGTCGGCCAGCACTCAGCCGGCATTGCTGAGATGCTGGGTTCAGGTCTGGGTTTTTTTGGTGTTTCGCGATGTTAACCGGGCTCGTAAGTGCGATGATACAAGCTGATACACTCAGCCTGGTCACCAATGACTGTACACAGACACACACAACAAACATTCAAATTCGGTTTCCCACTATATTCATACTGTTGCATCTTAAAAGAGCAAAACAATACGGGCGTAGTATGTTTAATATTACAGGCGTATTGTTGCATAACGCGTGGCATGTGCTCCTGACCAACAGTGTGCAAGTCGAATCATGCTTTTTGAAGTTTGTTTTCACATAGACGTATAAGGGGGGGAGGTGGGGGGGGGGGTGCTTTACCAAAGAAAATTAAACTATTTCATTAAATTATTCTAGCCCTGGATTTACAAAATACGTATAAATGTAATGCTAAATCATATTACCGTTACAAAAAATACTTTAAAAAGCAGTTTAATAACAAATGATGAGATGAAAAAGATTACTACTTGCAATGATTAGTTAATGAGTAACTTCAGGGCTTCTTGAACACTTCAGTGGGCGGCTGCTGCTGCTGCTTCTACTCAGATGGCATCACGGTGGGCACCGTGATGCCATCGGGATTTATTTTTTGTTATAATTGACAATATATTTTTAATTAGAAAACTGTAGTTTTACAATTTTTTCGGGTTTTTTCTCTCCAGCGCTTAACTGTGAAACATCGCGGAAGTGCGAAGTTTATGTGCCCCTAAAAGATCAACCGCGAAACTGCAAATTCGCACGTTACGCGTGGGATGCCTGCTGTTATTGCTTCAACAGAATAGACAACGTTGGAGGAAGGTGGTGTAAATTCATCTGTTACATCATTCATTGGTGGTGCTGTTCATTGGGGGGACTCTTAAGCATTTTTTTTCATTTAAAGCCCCCTCGCCTTTCCATTTTAAAACTCCTAGCGAGATGACGGAAGAGATCTAGACATGAAAAAATATCGAGATGAAAGAACATAGATACAGGCAAGTTTAAAGATGAGATCTTAATTGACCTTATAGAAATTGGCGTGTTATGTTAAGTTTTGAATTTGAGCCGATATATTTCAAGCAACCATGTACAAAATTATGAATCCGGGGCTCCCCTTAGCTGCTTCAGGGCCCTAAGCTTTGCCAATGCCGATTTTTGTTTTGTTTTGCCTCGCAGCGCCGCTGGTCACATTCGCTGGTCACATTCGCTTGGTAACCGGGCTTTGATTTGTGCGTCATGTTAACGGGGATGGCTGCGGCGTTGAGGTTTGCTGCGACGCTTGTGGTGTGGCTTGTGAGCCTCTCGCTGGCGGGAGCTGTGACGTAGCGAACGGTGGCCGATTTTTACCAGCGGAATCGGCAGGCATCCCGGATCCAGAATCACATCGGCGATTCCATCCCTTTGTTGGTGAATGTCATTCCTGAATTCTGTAGAGAAGCACACACGCAAGCAGTCGTTTTATGCAATAAAATGTGGCTTAAAATGATTGATTACAGCTCACCTCTTCTCTATCGCCCATTCTTTCTCTTCCCTCGCCCCTTCATCCCCTTCCAATCCCTCCCCTAGTCTTTCGTGATCCCTAAGCACCCCTCTATCGCTGCCACTCATTCCTCAATACCTCGTAGCACTGCCCCTGCCATCTAAATCATTCTATTCTGTCAGCGTTTTGTAAACTGTGAAAAAAAAGCTTCATAGCTCATCGGATTCCTCATGCAGTATAAATAATTATTCTCCAAAAATATTCCGAAATATAAATTAGATGAGATTACATTCGAAGTCTAGTCAAAGTGTGTCTTTGTGGGTGGTGGGGGAGAGGATTGCGTGTCTCTCACTCCAATAATTTATTATTAAGGAGCGTTCATAATCAAGGATTTCGGGTTAGGTCGCGCAAATATAAATGTGTCGTAACCCTCCACCACCCGACACAGCCGGCAAGGTTTGTCACGTAAACAACGCGCCAATTAGTTACTACTTCAGCCCACCAATTTGACTACGGCGTTTCGCTGGTAATTACATCCAGCATCATCGGGCGATTTGGCATGTCGTTTACGTGACAAACCTTACCGGCTGTGTCGGGTGGTGGAGGGTTACGACACAACATTTATTCTTCCACGATCTAACCGAACACACTTTATTATGACTAATATGGGTCGCAAAAGCCTACGTATTAAACCAAATTAAGGAGCGTGTGACAAAACATTTCGCTGCTTTAGTCAACCAGACATGAATCCACAGACACGAGGCCTGGACTACAACTCCACAGGCTGACTGATAAAAAAGAATGGTGACGATGTGAACACTGACCGACACTGCATGGAGGGTGTGCGCATCATCCAGCAGTGGATTAACCGAGGGGCACTAAATCATAATCGCTCAATCTTTAGTTTACTCGCCAAAATCGCCCTCAATAAAGTAGGCATCGGTGCACCGTACAACAGAACGGGAACGCTACAGGAGTACGGAACACCAAGAACGGAAAAAAAACCGTCCACGACAACAGCCGTGAACATTGCCTGAGCGAAACTCGGTTCTGTGGGATTTACTTACGTGGCCGAGTGCATACGGCGTAAAAAGTGTACGTGGTGAGTAAAATAATATAACAAATGAAGCTTTCGTTTTTTTCCGAGAAGGAAAGTCGGAACCGATGGATGTGTCCTGCACGGAATTGAGTGACACTCGGCGACGCCCGGCGCGTTTGGGACGTCCGGTCATGTGACGAGATCCCCGCCGTCGCACCGCGGCGTGGGCGAGTGCCAGGGGCGGCGAGGGGGCGCGGTGGTGGCGGTGGTGGCGGCGCGAGTGGTGGCACCTCGACGTAGGGGCTGAGCACCGCCTTGGACTGGTTGAGCGTGCCGTGCGTGTCGTACAGCGGGTAGGAAGACGCCGTCTCGCCGGTGTAGTAGAGCTCTGTGGTGCCGCCACCGTCGCCGTACGGGGCCGCGCAGCCTCTCCGGCAGCACCACACCGCCTGCAGGGAGGGTAGCGCCGGCTAGTCGCACCGACTCGTCGCACCGGCTCGTCGCACCGGCTAGTCGCACACCGGCTAGTCACACCGGCTCGTCGCACCAGCTAGTTGCACCGGCTCATCACACCGGCTAGTTCGATTCGACCTCTCGGTCGCAGCGGTTTAAATAACCACGGCGCAAGCGGGCAAAACGGGTACGCCACGGTTGTGCGATCGGCAGGGTGGCGTCGTGCGGTGGGGCAAAGCGTGGGTGCCACCCCCCCCCCCCCCTTCACCTCTTCCAAGACGTTCCGCCCAGCGTGGGGAAAACCGAGGCCACAAAAGGCCCTCTAGAATGCGCTCTCCTGAGCCAGCGCTTTGCAGTGCCGCACCTGCGCCCCTCTCGGTGTGTTATTGCGGAACGCGGATCCGCCAGCCGAGGGCTGCGTGCGAATCGAAATCTTCCCACGCCAAGTCTCCCAGCAGCGCCGTGGCCACAAGCAGTCGCATGTCCCGACACGGCTGCGACTTTGTTTACCGGTCCGCGGGCCCACGGGTGAAACGGTGGAATTCCAAAACGGTCCAGAAATTAAACCGCGAGTCGATGCCTTCGTAAGTCTACGACACGTGAATGTGCGTGTAAGTGTTGTTCTTAATACTGTATTATTATTACTGTCTTTTAGTTACCCAGAATAAAAGCCTCATTGGGTGTAGGAGGGTCCGGCTACATTGGGCTAACCGATAGTCAGCAGTTTGTTTAGCAGTCGGGGAGCGTTGTTGCCATAGGTTCTTTTTTTCCCCAACTGAGTAATTCATGGGTAAAATTAAACCTTTGGTAAAAATTGGACCGAAACGCCAGCACACGCACGCGTGCGCTGCAGCTCACTCTTTAATCACATAATGTCACGAGGTATTTAACGTCCACTGCAAAGCAGACGGCGCGTCCGCATTGCATGCTGGGCTTCTGACAGTCGTACTCACACACGCCAGCAGGACGATGACGTTGAGCAGGAGGATGGTGCTGGTTAGGGCCAGGAGGGCGATGGACCAGGAGGGGAACTCGTTCGTGACTCCTGTGGGAGGGGGAGAGGCGGCGGTTCAGAAACCGAGCGAGGGCCCATTGCCACCTCCGATTAGTGCGGTTGGGTCTACTGGTGACAAGGGGGAACCCATAGGGGTACCCTCATTTTGTTTGTAGAAGGTACCATTCCAGGTAAAGTAAGTGTTGGTGAGGCAGTGCCTAACCAGCGCAGGTACATCAGGGTTCAGTCCATGTTGGACCAAGCCTTCAATTATTGTTATGGTGTCAGGCACTGGGACCTTGGTGAACAGAGAGACCACATCAAAGCTAAACAAACACAAGATCCAGGTCCGGTTCAATACAGTACACAAAATCCGTGATCTGAACCCATCCGTAAAGGATGTCATTCCTGACTTACAGTACCCCGGTGTTTACAAATTGAGTTGTACCTGCGGTGACTGCTATATGGGGGAGACGAAACGACATATTTCTGACCGAATTCGCGAACACAAATCAGATTTGAAACACGGCTGAACGAATTCTTCGGCCGTAGCTGATCATTGTTTCAACACAGCGGGTTCTCATAACATTGTTTTCTCCAATACCAAAGTACTCTGCAAACCTCCCGGATACTACCAAAGATTTGTCCATGAAGCCATCCAGCTATACAAACATAGACACAACTTCAACCGAGAGGATGGTTTTACATTAAGCAATCATTGGAAAGATGTCATCAACCAAGTCAAACTTTAGCTGCCTTATAATTGTACAGCCATTTCCATTTCTTCCAGTTGGTTTCTCTCATTTTTGACAACCGCTCGCCATCGCCTCTCCGTCCCCCTAACCCCCTGCAGCATAACAAAAGGCGGCTTAACTTAGCCCCCCCCACGGCCCTTCCTGGCTCCCCCCCCCCCCCTTAACCTGTATATAATCTCGGGTCTCTTAGAGCTCTATTCACTTGATACAGCAATTTTGCTGTGACGGTTTCCACCTGAAGACGGAAGCTTGTGTTGCCTCCGAAACGTCGTGATTTAATTTAGTTGTTTTCATCTATTTTATTTTACCTACGTGACTTTGCCGACAAAAACAAAGAGTGGTAGGCCTGATTCCTGTGTTTGATGTGGTGTGTTGAATCAAGTGTTGTCATTCATGGTGAGATTATTCTACCACTGAACCCAAACAATAGTTGGGAGAGAAATGGTCCTGTCACAGCTGTTTCCTACCGATTTGGCCACTTTGATTCGCTGGATAAAGACGGCAGCTTCCGTCAACACACAAAATACTCGACTGTCGTTTGCTGTTGTCGTTGTTTTTGCTGAAGGAAAATCAAATACATTATGCACTGCAATAAATAAAAAAAAATGCTGTCAGAGTCAACGAATTAAGAGTAATTCCCATATAGGTTATTGTCGTTTGGGAATGTGTCCTCTGAAATAAGTGAAACGTCCCAAGTTATAATTTCGCCATAAAATAGCAGCTGTTGAATGTTAGAAGAATCAGAATCTTTACGCTGGAGGAATCCGATGAGCTTATGAGGCTCTTCTGCGCGGGCGTATTTTGCGAGCGAGAAAAATCCGGCAGATGCTCGAAGGTGCACGGCACGAGGAACAAAAAAAAGAACGTTAGGATGCAGAGAACGACCGCGGTACGAGCGTGAAGAACGCAAAGCAAGAAGCGACCACGTCAGCTGCAGGGGCACTCAGAATGCACCAAGATAGGCAGCGGTGCGAACGGTGGCACTGTAACGGGGTTGTTATTGTGATATTGATTTGGCAGCACATTCATTATTGATTCCGAATTGCCTCAATGAGGGATGAGTGAGGTAATTATCAAGAAGACGGGTAATAAATAAAAAAAACCCCACAAGGATAGCTTATAAATAATTAGAATTGCGCATGCAAAATTAAATAGCGCGTTTGAGAAAAAATAAATTAGCGCGTTGAAAACTGCAAAGAGGAATCGTAAATTTGTGCTCTCTGATCCAGTGACCGGAAGCCGAAGCTCAAAACCCCCCAGTCAACATCGAGCCAAAGGGAGGTGGCTGCTGGATGATCACTCCCCCAGTCCCCCGTGCCATTGACAGAGTGCCGCTGTTGAGATCCACGGTCCAGACCTCCTGCTCCTCCTCCTCTGCATGCGGATCAATCTCCAGATCTCAACCCACTGTCCGTGCTCACCGTTCACTGTGTGCGGAAGGCCGAAAGGATGTTGTGACGGCTTAAAACACTTCATTTAGTCAAGTAAATGTGAAAACGTCAGAGAGAGAGAGAGGCAGAGCACATGAATGAGCATGGCTTCAAAGGTACAGTAAATGATTCGCCAAATTCCATACATCAGGTAGACATATCGCATTATAATTGCTAGTGTACAAATGCATGTCAAAATTGCATCACTGCAACGGTCCAGGCACGGTGTTTTACACTCCCGACTGTTGATTCCCACACCTACGTATGAACGTTGAACATCTTTCGCACCACCGTACGTAGCCAACCGTGCCAATCGGAGGTGCGGGAGGGAAGGGCAACAAGCTTAAACACAAAAAGCAGTTTCAAAAAAATGAGTTTTCAGTTTAGATTTAAAAGTGCATAGCTCCAGTAGCTTCTTCATATCGGAGTGATTATATTATAATGGCATTGTGGGTGTTATCCTGTCTTCATATCGGAGTGATTATATTACAATGTCATTGTGGGTGTTATCCTGTCTTCATATCGGAGTGATTATATTATAATGTCATTGTGGGTGTTATCCTGTCTTCATATCGGAGTGATTATATTATAATGACATTGTGGGTGTTATCTGTCTTCATATCGGAGTGATTATATTATAATGTCATTGTGGGTGTTATCCTGTCTTCATATCGGAGTGATTATATTATAATGACATTGTGGGTGTTATCTGTCTTCATATCGGAGTGATTATATTATAATGTCATTGTGGGTGTTATCCTGTCTTCATATCGGAGTGATTATATTATAATGACATTGTGGGTGTTATCTGTCTTCATATCGGAGTGATTATATTATAATGTCATTGTGGGTGTTATCCTGTCTTCATATCGGAGTGATTGTATTATAATGTCATTGTGGGTGTTATCCTGTCTTCATATCTGAGTGATTATATTACAATGCCATTGTGGGTGTTATCCTGTCTTCATATCGGAGTGATTATATTATAATGTCATTGTGGGTGTTATCCTGTCTTCATATCGGAGTGATTATATTATAATGTCATTGTGGGTGTTATCCTGTCTTCATATCGGAGTGATTATATTATAATGTCATTGTGGGTGTTATCCTGTCTTCATATCGGAGTGATTATATTATAATGGAATTGTGGGTGTTATCCTGTCTTCATATCGGAGTGATTATATTATAATGGCATTGTGGGTGTTATCCTATCTTCATATCGGAGTGATTATATTACAATGTCATTGTGGGTGTTATCCTGTCTTCATATCGGAGTGATTATATTATAATGACATTGTGGGTGTTATCTGTCTTCATATCGGAGTGATTATATTACAATGTCATTGTGGGTGTTATCCTGTCTTCATATCGGAGTGATTATATTACAATGTCATTGTGGGTGTTATCCTGTCTTCATATCGGAGTGATTATATTATAATGTCATTGTGGGTGTTATCCTGTCTTCATATCAGAGTGATTATATTATAATGTCATTGTGGGTGTTATCCTGTCTTCATATCGGAGTGATTATATTATAATGTCATTGTGGGTGTTATCCTGTCTTCATATCGGAGTGATTATATTACAATGTCATTGTGGGTGTTATCCTGTCTTCATATCGGAGTGATTTTATTATAATGTCATTGTGGGTGTTATCCTGTCGTCATATCGGAGTGATTATATTATAATGTCATTGTGGGTGTTATCCTGTCTTCATATCGGAGTGATTATATTATAATGGCATTGTGGGTGTTATCCTGTTTTCATATCGGAGTGATTATATTATAATGTCATTGTGGGTGTTATCCTGTCCTCATATCGGAGTGATTATATTATAATGTCATTGTGGGTGTTATCCTGTCTTCATATCGGAGTGATTATATTATAATGTCATTGTGGGTGTTATCCTGTCTTCATATCGGAGTGATTATATTATAATGTCATTGTGGGTGTTATCCTGTCTTCATATCGGAGTGATTATATTATAATGTCATTGTGGGTGTTATCCTGTCTTCATATCGGAGTGATTATATTACAATGTCATTGTGGGTGTTATCCTGTATTCATATCGGAGTGATTATATTATAATGTCATTGTGGGTGTTATCCTGTCTTGTGGGTGTTATCCTGTCTTCATATCGGAGCGATTATATTATAATGCCATTGTGGGTGTTATCCTGTCTTCATATCGGAGTGATTATATTATAATGTCATTGTGGGTGTTATCCTGTCTTCATATCGGAGTGATTATATTACAATGGCATTGTGGGTGTTATCCTGTCTTCATATCGCAGTGATTATATTATAATGTCATTGTGGGTGTTATCCTGTCTTCATATCGGAGTGATTATATTACAATGTCATTGTGGGTGTTATCCTGTCTTCATATCGGAGTGATTATATTACAATGTCATTGTGGGTGTTATCCTGTCTTCATATCGGAGTGATTATATTATAATGTCATTGTGGGTGTTATCCTGTCTTCATATCGGAGTGATTATATTACAATGTCATTGTGGGTGTTATCCTGTCTTCATATCGGAGTGATTATATTATAATGTCATTGTGGGTGTTATCCTGTCTTCATATCGGAGTGATTATATTACAATGGCATTGTGGGTGTTATCCTGTCTTCATATCGGAGTGATTATATTACAATGGAATTGTGGGTGTTATCTTGTCTTCATATCTGAGTGATTGTATTATAATGTCATTGTGGGTGTTATCCTGTCTTCATATCGGAGTGATTATATTATAATGTCATTGTGGGTGTTATCCTGTCTTCATATCGGAGTGATTATATTATAATGTCATTGTGGGTGTTATCCTGTCTTCATATCGGAGTGATTATATTACAATTTCATTGTGGGTGTTATCCTGTCTTCATATCGGAGTGATTATATTACAATGTCATTGTGGGTGTTATCCTGTCTTCATATCGGAGTGATTATATTATAATGTCATTGTGGGTGTTATCCTGTCTTCATATCGGAGTGATTATATTATAATGTCATTGTGGGTGTTATCCTGTCTTCATATCGGAGTGATTATATTACAATGTCATTGTGGGTGTTATCCTGTCTTCATATCGGAGTGATTATATTACAATGTCATTGTGGGTGTTATCCTGTCTTCATATCGGAGTGATTATATTATAATGTCATTGTGGGTGTTATCCTGTCTTCATATCGGAGTGATTATATTATAATGTCATTGTGGGTGTTATCCTGTCTTCATATCAGAGTGATTATATTATAATGTCATTGTGGGTGTTATCCTGTCTTCATATCGGAGTGATTATATTACAATGTCATTGTGGGTGTTATCCTGTCTTCATATCGGAGTGATTATATTATAATGTCATTGTGGGTGTTATCCTGTCTTCATATCGGAGTGATTATATTATAATGTCATTGTGGGTGTTATCCTGTCTTCATATCGGAGTGATTATATTATAATGTCATTGTGGGTGTTATCCTGTCTTCATATCGGAGTGATTATATTACAATGTCATTGTGGGTGTTATCCTGTCTTCATATCGGAGTGATTTTATTATAATGTCATTGTGGGTGTTATCCTGTCTTCATATCGGAGTGATTATATTATAATGGCATTGTGGGTGTTATCCTGTCTTCATATCGGAGTGATTATATTATAATGTCATTGTGGGTGTTATCTTGTCATCATATCGGAGTGATTATATTATAATGTCATTGTGGGTGTTATCTTGTCATCATATCGGAGTGATTTTATTATAATGTCATTGTGGGTGTTATCCTGTCTTCATATCGGAGTGATTATATTATAATGGCATTGTGGGTGTTATCCTGTCTTCATATCGGAGTGATTATATTATAATGTCATTGTGGGTGTTATCTTGTCATCATATCGGAGTGATTATATTATAATGTCATTGTGGGTGTTATCTTGTCATCATATCGGAGTGATTTTATTATAATGTCATTGTGGGTGTTATCCTGTCTTCATATCGGAGTGATTATATTATAATGGCATTGTGGGTGTTATCCTGTCTTCATATCGGAGTGATTATATTATAATGTCATTGTGGGTGTTATCTTGTCATCATATCGGAGTGATTATATTATAATGTCATTGTGGGTGTTATCTTGTCATCATATCGGAGTGATTATATTATAATGTCATTGTGGGTGTTATCCTGTCGCCGCTGCGTCATGGGCGTTCCGGCTCAGAGTCTCGCGCCGTCGTGTTTTTAAGACGAACGTCTTTGCCGTCTTACCCAGAATTTTGCCTCTTACTCAAGTTTGCCTTCGTGGTTTTTTTTTTACCAGCACCGAATGCCTTCGCTCGCACCGAATCATCTCCACGAGTGTTGCCGTGCCCCCCAGCCCAGTTACAGACGGACGGACGACGGTCAGCCAGATGGACAGAGATCACGCAAGGACGCTTCCAACCTCAGGGGCCGTCCATAAATGATGTCACGCGATTTTGGACGAATTTTGACCCCCCCCCCCACCCTCGCCACACGGCGTCACAAAAAGTCAGACCCCCCCTCAAACATGACGTCACAAAGCTCTGCCCCCCCCCCAAAACCATATTTCAAATCGCTTTAAACTATTGTCATTGTAGTGCGTATTTAATGTGGCGCTGCACTCCGAAGTTGTAGGAGCAAACATTTATTAAAAAGTCTATTTAATTAAGTAGAACGTGTTGTCTATATTTATTTAAAGTTGCGCATTTTGATGTGACGTCACAGTTCTCAAACCCCCCCCCCCCTCTCGTCACACATCGTCACAAATGTCTGATCCCTCCCCCCCAGGTGCGTGACGTCATTTATGGATGGCCCCTGAGTTGAGAGGCATCACAAATGCTGATTAAATGAACGCTGCACAAGTGGCGGCTGAAAATATTTTATTGTTTTTTTTAAAATTGATATGTACCAAACTAAATTCGTTGCGTTTAAAAAAAATATTATTCGTGTAGGGCCTTATTTCAAAAACTTGGAATTTCGCGAACGCAACCGCCCTTGGGCAAGTTTCTAGATCGGCCCGGGGGTGGCTATGCACGTGGCCTGTAACCCAGCAATGCGGAGGCGAGGGTTGGTGGATCGCACAATGAGCAGCGTCGCGGTGCCATACCCTGGCTCACGACCAGAATGCAGCGCAGCAAAGTGTGGATAAAAATATATAACATCTCTATTCTGTGCGGAATACAGTGTTTGCCCCCTCGCATGCAATGTATAATAAACTCTCACTCGTTGGCTGAAAACGTCTGAACATGTCGAGAATTGCAAAGTAATAATTGTTGGCGCCGGCTCCAGCTCGTTTGTCCGCTTCCACGGTGATTGTGAGACGCAATCGGCATGGACGACGGCGCTACGTAGCGTATCACGTCTTCTCTATTACAACATTCTCTTCCCTCGCCCCTCCACTCCTTCCCGTCACCTCCCATCCCTCCCTACCCTTTCGTGATCCCTAAGTACCCTCTCTATTGCCGTCACTCGTTCCTCAACCCTTGTAGCACTCACGCTGCCATCTAAATTATTCTGTTATTCTGTCACCGTCTTGTAAGCTGTGCCAAGCGCCTTGAGTGCAGGCGCTCTGTACATCTTAATTGAGATAATAGTTGTTGTTGTTGTTGGGGCACGTCGCCCCATCCTGATGCGCAAACTCCAGCAGAAGGTTGCGCAACTTCAGCTGGAAGTGAGGACCGCGACCCCCCCCCCCCCCCTCCCAACGGAGTGGCGACATCCCCCGTGGCCCCCCCACCGACTGCAGTCGCCCCCGCCCCCCTCTCCCCCCACCGCCCGTAATCCGTCGCTTCAACAAATCACTCGAGACGCCGTCGTACGGACAGCCAAGATCGGTCCGTGCGAACGCTGTCGCAGGAGGCCGCGCGTTCAACGCCAACGCTCCTTCGCGTAACGAACGAACGATTCCTGGGTTTAATTTTTTTTATTTAAATTTTGATTTAAAGCTTTCGTGACTGCAGTAATTCATATTCTTAGCTCTTTCGGTAAAGTCACGTTGAAGGGAAACAATAAAATAATAAAATACATATTCCCTTCAACGTGACTTTACCGAAAGTGCTAAGAATATGAATCCTGGGTTCTTTCGTTCGTTCGTCCGTCCGTCGTTCGTCGTCGTTCGCACGGTGGCGGGCGCCTCGCCGGGGACCCACCGGGCACGATGGGGCCGCTCACGCCGAGCTCGCCGAGCCGCGTGCCGCCGTGGGTGCCGCGCAGGAACGCGTCCGACACGGCGTCCGGGTGGGCTCCCCCGAGCAGAGTGTCGAACAGCAGGTCGGACGTCACCCCCACGGAGCCGCGCCTGGGGTGAAGGGTGGGCGGCAGAGTGGATGTGGGGGGGGGGGGCGGGCGGTGGTGAGCAGGGGAGGGAACGGTGGAAAACGTTAGCCGGGTGTCCACGGCCCACTCTTGATTGAAAGGGCGCCGCGGTGGCTAGGAGATGTTGACTACCTCGCCTGGTATGCAGGAGGTCGTGGGTTCGATCTCGACCCTGACGCCTGCTGCTGCTGTATATTTGGAGTTTGCGTGTCTCTCTCCCTTTCCCCGTGGTCGCGTGGATTTGTCTCCGGGTCCTCCGATTTTTCCCTCCACATTTAGAATCATCATTTTGGCTGCTGTACATTTCGACGTGATACGCCACTTCGTTGAGCTATCATTTGTGATACCCAGGTCGCTTCTGAAAAAAGAGCTATATATCTCAGTGGGACTTATCTTGTAAAATAAAAAATAGTTTATAAATAGTCTTGGTTCTTTCAGTAAAGTCACGTAGAAGGGAAACAAAATAATACAAATATAAAAAATACAATTCTCGCGACGTTGGTTCTTTCGGTAAAGTCACAGCAAGAAAAATTTCTTGCTGTGGTTTTCACACCTGATGATGATTGCTTTTGTTGCAGTCGAAACGTCGTGAGAATTTTATTGTTTTATATTTTTATTATTTTATTGTTTCCCTTCTACGTGACTTTACCGAGAGAACCAAGAAGATGAATCCCTGCAGTCACGAAAGCTTTAAATCCAAGTTGACAAATAGTTTACTAAAATAGTAATAGAATGAATCCCGTGCGGTGGTAATGGTGGTTATGCTGCATGTGGCTGCTCATGGGGGGGGGGGGGGGGGGGGGCGGGTGACTTGCGTAGATGGTGACTCGTGTAGATGGTGACTGGTGTAGATGGTGACTCGTGTAGATGGTGACTCGTGCAGATGGTGACTCGTGTAGATGGTGACTGGTGTAGATGGTGACTCGTGTAGATGGTGACTCGTGTGGGTGGTGACTTGTGTAGATGGTGACTTGTGTGGGTGGTGACTTGTGTAGATGGTGACTCGTGTAGATGGTGACTGGTGGCTTGTGTAGATGGTGACTTGTGTAGAAAGTGACTTGTGTAGATAGTGACTTGTGTAGATGGTGACTCGTGTAGATGGTGACTCGTGTGGATGGTGACTCGTGTGGGTGGTGACTCGTGTGGGTGGTGACTCGTGTAGATGGTGACTCGTGTAGATGGTGACTGGTGACTTGTGTAGATGGTGACTTGTGTAGATGGTGACTCGTGTAGATGGTGACTCGTGTAGATGGTGACTCGTGTAGATGGTGACTGGTGACTTGTGTAGATGGTGACTTGTGACTCGTGTAGATGGTGACTGGTGACTCGTGTAGATGGTGACTGGTGACTCGTGTAGATGGTGACTGGTGACTCGTGTAGATGGTGACTTGTGTAGATGGTGACTGGTGTTGATGGTGACTCGTGTAGATGGTGACTCGTGTAGATGGTGACTGGTGACTTGTGTAGATGGTGACTCGTGCAGATGGTGACTCGTGTAGATGGTGACTGGTGACTCGTGTAGATGGTGACTCGTGTAGATGGTGACTCGTGTAGATGGTGACTCGTGTAGATGGTGACTGGTGACTTGTGTAGATGGTGACTCGTGTAGATGGTGACTCGTGTAGATGGTGACTCGTGTAGATGGTGACTGGTGACTTGTGTAGATGGTGACTCGTGCAGATGGTGACTCGTGTAGATGGTGACTGGTGACTCGTGTAGATGGTGACTCGTGTAGATGGTGACTGGTGACTCGTGTAGATGGTGACTCTTGTAGATGGTGACTCGTGTAGATGGTGACTCGTGTAGATGGTGACTTGTGTAGATGGTGACTTGTGTAGATGGTGACTCTTGTAGATGGTGACTCGAGTAGATGGTGACTCGTGTAGATGGTGACTGGTGGCTTGTGTAGATGGTGACTTGTGTAGAAAGTGACTTGTGTAGATAGTGACTTGTGTAGATGGTGACTCGTGTAGATGGTGACTCGTGTGGATGGTGACTCGTGTGGGTGGTGACTCGTGTGGGTGGTGACTCGTGTAGATGGTGACTGGTGACTTGTGTAGATGGTGACTTGTGTAGATGGTGACTCGTGTAGATGGTGACTCCTGTAGATGGTGACTCGTGTAGATGGTGACTCGTGTAGATGGTGACTGGTGACTCGTGTAGATGGTGACTGGTGACTCGTGTAGATGGTGACTGGTGACTCGTGTAGATGGTGACTTGTGTAGATGGTGACTGGTGTAGATGGTGACTCGTGTAGATGGTGACTCGTGTAGATGGTGACTGGTGACTTGTGTAGATGGTGACTCGTGCAGATGGTGACTCGTGTAGATGGTAACTGGTGACTCGTGTAGATGGTGACTCGTGTAGATGGTGACTCGTGTAGATGGTGACTGGTGACTTGTGTAGATGGTGAGTCTTGTAGATGGTGACTTGTGTAGATGGTGACTCGTGTAGATGGTGACTCGTGTAGATGGTGACTGGTGACTTGTGTAGATGGTGACTCGTGCAGATGGTGACTCGTGTAGATGGTGACTGGTGACTCGTGTAGATGGTGACTCGTGTAGATGGTGACTGGTGACTTGTGTAGATGGTGACTCTTGTAGATGGTGACTCGTGTAGATGGTGGCTGGTGACTTATGTAGATGGTGACTGGTGACTTGTGTAGATGGTGACTTGTGTAGATGGTGACTCGTGTAGATGGTGACTCGTGTAGATGGTGATTGGTGACTTGTGTAGATGGTGACTTGTGTAGATGGTGACTGGTGTGGGTGGAGACTTGTGTGGGTGGTGACTTGTGTAGATGGTGACTTGTGTGGGTGGTGACTCGTGTTTATGCAAGATGTAAACTATACCAGAACCGGCGCACCACGCTGGTTATGTACGAATCTTTCAACGTAGAATTTTTGAAAACTTGGTCCAGCTGCAAAAGCAAAAGAAAAGAAACATCACGACAAATTACCGTATCATTTCTCCATGCCAGACAACACCAGATATATTCCGTATCGGCAAATAATAGTTTGATGGTCACGATGATGATGTGGAGTTTTTTGTTTGTTTGTTACGTGCATTACCTGTACCAAACTGACTGACATAAATAAATACTCAACTTCACATCATCATCATCATCATCGTGCGTGGTCACACCATTACGTGCAAATAAATACGTGGCATTATCCGATGCGGAGCGCTGGCAGAGTGGTGAGCTCGCTGTGCTAGGCGGACCCGAGTTTGATTCCCACCGATGGCTAACATCGGCCGCGATGTCCGAACCGTTCCCGGGCTCACCCCCCTGCACGGGTCTGGCCGAGTCGGCATCGTCGCGAGAGACCACCCCGTCGTGATCGTCACCAGATGGGCAGTCCGTCAACGCATCGGTGGACCGACACGGCCGGAATGTATTTATTCCAACGCGTAGCTTTTGACGATTCACGCGTGGGAAATTGCCTCGAAGCAAAACAAAAGTGGCCACTTGTCACGTCGGCCAGAGCAGAACTCGGCAAAATCTACGGTTGCAAAAAAGAAAAAACTGTAGTAGTCCGGTTGATTTCCACGGCGAACGAGAGTGGATTATTTGATTATTTGATAACCCCCGCACATTCAAAGTGGTTGCAACACAATGCGCTGTTAATGTCCACACACAAACAAAGACAAAGATCCCCCGTATAGCCGAAACAGACTATTGGGGCAAGTGCTGTTAGCGAGCACCTTTGAAGGCCGGAACGATACACGAGGGGGTGGGTGGCCAGCACTACGCCCGGCCGCCTTTGTCTCCCCCGAACGCCTTTGTCTCCCCAGTGGCGATGTTTACACACCGCACCAGGTAGTAATTTGAGGCTGAGTTGACCTAGGGGAGGCCCAGGACCGGTTCTAATAATCGTCACCGGTGAGCGGGAATCGAACTCGGGTGGCCAGGTTCGTAGCGCAGCGTAGCGCTAACCGCTACACTACCGCTGTCCACACACACGCACACAGACACACTAAGAAATCGGAACCACGAAAGTAACGCCACCTCATCGGGCAACTGCTGCGCTTTCCTGGCCTCAATAGCTGCTCGCTGACCTATGGAACTCACCTTCCGCTCGCCTCGGCCGAGACCACAATTTCACTCGCTACGCTTGAGAACCCAGCGGCTTAAGAGCCTGGGTCCACGCTCGCGATCTTAGCGGTGAGCTCTGACCACTGAAGTCGCCCGGGCCACCACGCTCGCTGCACAGCGCGCCGGGGCAAGGGCGGGGCACGGCCCTTGAACACTCAGGGGGCCTTCGGCGGCGCTGGCTCAGCGCCCCGGCAATGGGACGAAACCGACGCCCCCGGGTTCAGAGCGAGCGCTCGCGGTTCTGGGGCCACTCTCACCCCACGCCTAACCGAGCACCACTTTGGCCGTGTTTCCACAGCAGATGCAAAGCGTGCTGGCTCCGTGGCCTCCGCCGGGCTGGGTCCGTGGGTCGGTGAGGTGTCTCGCTGGCAACCAGGCACGGCAGAATCCGTTAAATCTACCAAACGTCCTGGTTTCAGCTGAGACAGGCCCCAGTCGTAAATATCTATACAGTGAGGGAAAAAAAGTATTTGATGCCCTGCTGATTTTGTACGTTTGCCCACTGACAAAGAAATGATCAGTCTATAATTTTAATGGTAGGGTTATTTGAACAGTGAGAGGCAGAATGACAGCAAAAAAATCCAGAAGAACGCATGTCAAAAATGTTATAAATTGATTTGCATTTTAATGAGGGAAATAAGTATTTGACCCCTCTGCAAAACATGACTTAGTGCTTGGTGGCAAAACCTCTGTTGGTAATCACAGAGGTCAGACGTTTGTTGTAGTTGGCCACCAGGTTTGCACACATCTCAGGAGGGATTTTGTCCCACTCCTCTTTGCAGATCTTCTCCAAGTCATGAAGGTTTCGAGGCTGACGTTTGGCAACTCGAACCTTCAGCTCCCTCCACAGATTTTCTATGGGATTAAGCACATTAAGATCTGGAGACTGGCTAGGCCACTCCAGGACCTTAATGTGCTTCTTCTTGAGCCACTCCTTTGTTGCCTTGGCCGTGTGTTTTGGGTCATTGTCATGCTGGAATACCCATCCACGACCCATTTTCAATGCCCTGGCTGAGAGAAGGAGGTTCTCACCCAAGATTTGATGGTACATGGCCCCGTCCTTTGATGCGGTGAAGTTGTCCTGTCCCCTTAGCAGAAACACACCCCCAAAGCATGTTTCCACCTCCATGTTTGACGGTGGGGATGGTGTTCTTGGGGTCATAGGCAGCATTCCTCCTCCTCCAAACACGGCGAGTTGAGTTGATGCCAAAGAGCACCATTTTGGTCTCATCTGACGACAACACTTTCACCCAGTTGTCCTCTGAATCATTCAGATGTTCATTGGCAAACTTCAGACGGGCATGTATATGTGCTTTCTTGAGCAGGGGGACCTTGCGGGCGCTGCAGGATTTCAGTCCTTCGCGGCATAGTGTGTTACCAATTGTTTTCTTGGTGACTATGGTCCCAGCTGCCTTGAGATCATTGACAAGATCCTCCCGTGTAGTTCTGGGCTGATTCCTCACCGTTCTCATGATCATTTAAACTCCACGAGATGAGATCTTGCATGGAGCCCCAGGCTGAGGGATATTGACAGTTATTTTGTGCTTCTTCCATTTGCGAATAATCGCACCAACTGTTGTCACCTTCTCACCAAGCTGCTTGGCAATGGTCTTGTAGCCCATTTCAGCCTTGTGTAGGTCTACAATCTTGTCCCTGACATCCTTGGAGAGCTCTTTGGTCTTGGCCATGGTGGAGAGTTTGGAATCTGATTGATTGATTGTTTCTGTGGACAGGTGTCATTCATACAGGTGTAGAGGTGTTAACTACTCACTGTTTCGTAACCTGCATTGCCACTAGATATTAATTGGGCAGTGCAGCGTTACCTCTGTGTACATAACGGTTGAGTTCAGACGAAGTGAAGTGGATCGTAGCCACAGTTTGGTAAGAACCAATCAGACAGTTCCACGTGGGAATGTGGGATTGGTTACACCTGGCCACAAACGAGTATAAGAAGGGTGCTCACTACGAGCCGCTCGGAGCATCCACGCGCATCTGCTGCTCCACACGGATTCGACAATCGCCGCCTCGGCTTCGACATTGGAGCCTGCCAGCAGGGACAACAAATTCTCCCCCGACTGGGCCTTCATGGCGACCAGGTCAACGGGTCGGCGATCGTCTAACCACGCTGGTCGCCGCGACGACCAGCAGTGGGGACGGCCTCCTCCATGCAGCGACGTGACGTGCTTCAACTGTGGCCGACGAGGCCACATCTCCTCCGAGTGCCGTGCGCCTCGACGACGCTCCTCCGGATCCCGAGGCCAGGACTACAGGACACCCACGGCATCGCCGCACAATCAGGCAAGTCGCGACGCCTCTCACGCTCAGCCCTCATTCACGCCATACACACCGCAACGCACCATAAGAAATGCTCGCGATTCGGCGTGTGATGCGCGGTGTTCCGGCGATTCTTCGCGGCCACTCGGACCTGGGCAGTGGTCTGAGTTGGCCCATAGGGTAGTCGCGGCGACGGCAGGTTCCTCCGTGGTTGTCGGATCGATCGAGGGTGTGGAATTTCGTGTGTTGGTTGATACTGGTGCGTTGGCTACGATCATTTCGGATTTTATTTATAATATACTGCCCGTACGATGCCGCCCCTTGGAACGTGTTTCTATTCCGTGTTTCGCCGCTAATGGAAGTTCGCTGGGCATTATTGTGCAAATTCGTGCGCAAATTTTGATTGGTGACATTAAATTGACGGGGCCTATTTTGGTCTCTTCCTCCCTCGCCGTGCCATGTTTGTTAGGCACTGACTTTCTCGCGAAAATGCCTATTGAGATCCTTGTAGATCAAGGCTGCATCGAACTCCCGTCGGGTCGACGGATGACGTTCTTGCCCACGCCCTCACATCTGCGCACGGCAAATGCCTCTGTGCAGGCGTTCGTCGCCAGCACAGTCCGTATTCCACCAGGGACACAAATGCTCGTGCCCTTGCGATTAAAGAAACCGCTAGCCCCGGACGCCTCGGCACATGGCATTTTGCTTGGATCTTCGAACACAGCTGTTAAAGGGTTGGATTTAGTGGCTGCACAGACCCTCGTAGCAGCTGACAGGGAGCCATTCTTGCAGGTTTTGAATGTCGGATTGTCCACAACCGTCATTCCGCAAGGAACTGTGCTCGCTAACGCGACCCAGGCGCCCCTGGGGACCGGAGTCGTGGGACATGTGCTTAACAGGCCACAGGTTCCACCTCCTTCAGAATCAGATGAGGCATGGTTGGACGCGCTCTGCGCAGACACAGGTGTTCTGTCTGGTTCGCAGCTAATTAAATTGCGCGCTCTTCTGCGAGAATTTTCTGATGTATTCAGTACATATAAATTTGATATTGGCTGCACCAAGCTGCTGCGTCACCACATTGATACTGGTGACACTGCCCCTATTCGACAAAACCCGATTCGGCTTAGCCCGGCAGAGAAGCACCATGTTAAATCGGCTGTGGATGACATGCTGGAGGCCGATATCATTTCTCCTTCCACTAGTCCCTGGGGTGCTCCAATAGTGCTGGTCAAAAAGCACGATGGCAGTCTTAGTTTTGCGTTGATTTTCGGCGCCTAAATAAAATCTCGGTAGCTGATGCCTACCCTCTCCCTCGTATGGATGAGTCATTGGATGCCCTGGCAGGGGCGCACTATTTCTCCACTTTGGACCTTCTGTCGAGGTTTTGGCAACTCCCCCTCGATGAAGCGTCAAAACCTAAGAGTGCTTTTCGGACACCACAGGGCCTTTTTGAGTTTAATAGATTGCCCATGGGTCTCCACTCGGCCCCAGCGACGTTCCAGAGGCTCATAGAGCTGGTCCTCGCTGGGCTCCAGTGGGACTCATGTCTCATTTATCTTGACATCATCATCTTTAGCCGCATGTTCGGCGAACACATTGAGCGATTTCGTGCTGTCTTCTTGAAAATGCGGGCCGCTAACTTAAAATTCAAGCCGCAGAAGTGTCACCTTCTGCGTGAGTCTGTGCGCTATTTGGGCCACATAGTCAGACGCTCGGGAATTTCTACCGACCCTGAAAAAACCAAATGCGTTCGCCAATGGCCGACTCCTACATCTGCGGGCGATGTTCGCAGTTTTATTGGTTTTGCATCATATTACTGCCGTTTTGTTGCTGGCTTCACAATTGCCAAACCGCTTCATGCCCTTACATCCAAAGGGGTGATGTTTCATTGAGGGGATGCGGAACAGGCCGCATTCGACTCCTTGCGGAACGCACTCGTAACGGCACCGTCCCTTGCATACCCCGATTTTTCCGTACCATTCGTGTTGGACACCGACGCTAGCAATACGGGGATTGGGGCTGTTCTGTCCCAAAAGGTTGATGGCATTGAAAGGGTCGTTGCCTATGGTAGCAGAGTTTTGTCTCCTGCTGAACAACGATACTGTGTTACCCGACGTGAGCTGCTGGCCATTGTCTTTTTCATTCAGCAATACAGGCCGTACCTGTATGGTCAGCATTTTACCGTGCGATCTGATCATTCGGCATTACAGTACGCTCTGCGGGTTGACCAACCGTCCGGCCAGCTTTCTCGGTGGCTCAAAGTCCTTCAGGACTATGATTTCAATGTTACTTACCGTAAGGGTGCACAACACACGAATGCCGATGCGTTGTCTCGCCGCCCGCCGGCTCAAAAATGTGTATGCTTTTTGGGCTCTGGCCGTTGTAAGCCTCTCGAAACAGTGTCCGCCGTGCTTCCCGTCGCCTCAGCGCCGATGTCGGATCATGCAGATCCAACGGCCAGTGACGACTTGCTGGGGCTGACTTTGGCCGAATGGGGTCGGCACCAGAGCGGCGACATGTCGTTGTTGCGGTTGCCTCGTCACGCAAATAATGCGGCTCCGCGTCAAGGGAAATTCAATTAATTTGTTATGAAGCGCGGCCTGTTGATGCATTGGGATGCTGACTCGTGTCAACATAAAATCGTCGTCCCGTCCGCCTTGCGATGCAAAGCCGTATGGGCAGCGCATGAGCGTTTATTACACCTGGGTGTTCATAAAACCATTGGGTTGTTGCGGTTGCAATTTTTCTGGCCGGGCATGCTGCACGATGTAACCGACATTCTACTGGGGTGCACCCATTGTGTGCAACGTAAACCGCCGGCTAGACTGGCATGCCCGCCCCTGCAACCCATTTTGGTGTCTCGTATAAACGAGTTGGTGGCTCTCGATATTTTGAGCCCTTTTCCTACTACGCCACGGGGTAATAAGTACCTTCTGGTTGGGGTAGAGTATTTTACGCGGTGGCCTGGGGCCTGGGCCCTCCCCAACCAGTCGGCAGCGGCCGTCATGGATGCCTTTGTTCAGGGCTACGTCCTGGACAAGGGCACACCAGAACGGTTGCTGACCGATCAGGGAAGAAATTTTTCAGGAGTCCTGTTGAATGATGTGTGGCGCCTGTTGGGCACAAATAAAGTGCGCACTTCGCCCTTCCATCCCCAAACCGACGGCATGGTGGAGCGCTTGAATAGAACTCTCACCGCTATGTTATTCCATCAGGTCGATGAATCCCACCTTGATTGGGACTTGCAGGTTCCGGGGGTCCTCGCCGCATACCGCATGGCACCTCATGTGGCAACGGGATTTTCCCCATTCTTTTTAATGTACGGCAGGGATGCCTTTCCTCCCGCCGACATTCGGCTGGAGATAGAACAGCCGCCGCAGAAATCCAAGCTTGTTGACCACTTGCGATTTAATCTCCGTAAGATGGCCGAGGCACGGGAGGCTGCCATTGAAAATCCGGCTTCCCGCCAGCGAGCGAATTTGAGACTGCATGATCCTCGGACGTTCACTGCCCCCAGGTGCCGGTGTCCACATCGGCAAAACTCCTCAGGCCATGGCAGGGTCCGGTGGAGGTGGTTGAGGTCCTTCGGGCCCAATGTATTAAAATTCGCTGGGGACGGCGTCGCTGGTTTGTTCACCCTTCTCGGTTGAAACCCTTCGTCACGCCGCGCGTCCCTCCACAACACACACAACAGGGGGGCCGAGTGTGCGATGCGTCCGACGAGCCAGATGTTGCCCCGTTGGTGCCTAACCCACAGCGCAGGCGTGTCATTCCTCCTGCAGATGACGCGGGAGTGACAGCTCCGTGCAGGCCACTTTCGGCCTCGATGGACCATGGATCGTCAGGTGTCCCCGTGGAAATGCCTCAAGACCCACCTCATGACCCACCTGACGCTCTTATTCATCGTCCTGCCCCTCCTGTGCCACCGACGAAGCCTACCCTCCCCTACGATGGCCCAGTGAAACACACGCGTGCTAAATCTCGCCGGTTTTTATGATGCTTCTCTTGCTTGCTGACACGTTCCCGGTTCCTAATCGGTTTTGCTACACTCGCCGCCTGCTCTATCGCGTTGTGTGTATGTTCAGTTTCATGACTGATTGCCTTGTACATACGTTGTGTTGTTAGGGGGGTATTTATATGGGTTTCTTTTTCTACTGTTCTTGTTCTTGTTGTTCGTGAGGCACACTCACATTTCTTCTATCGTTGATAATTTCGGAGTTTCACATTGTTGCAGTAAACCTGCATTGCCACTCGGTATCAGAGGGGCAGTGCAGCGTTACCTCTGTGTACATAATGATTGGGGTCAGACGAGGTGAAGTGGATCGTAGCCATAGTTTGGTAAGAACCAATCAGACAGTTCCACGTGGGAATGTGGGATTGGTTACACCTGGCCACAAACGGGTATAAGAAGGGTGACCGCGCAGAGTGCGGGGAGTTCTCTCCCTACACGAAGACCGAAGCCCGGGCTGAAGATGGCCAGGACCCTGGACCCAGCCTTCCAGCCCTTCTGAGGGCTAAGGCTCGGCGCATCCAGTGGTCAAGACCCACCGGGCCAGCGGTGGGTCAGATAGCCTCCCCTAGGTCCAAGCCGGAGGACTCTAGGATAGCGGTAGAAGTGTGAGTAAGTCCCGCCAAGATACGAGGCTGTACCTCCTTAGGTTAGGAAGAGATCTGTGTGTAGGTCACGCTAAGTCCGGAGGCTGTACCTTCTTAGGGTATCGGGTGAGGGGACCGTATACCTCTCTGTGTGTTAAGGACTGTGTAAAGAGAAGTATTACAATAAACAGAGTGTGCCTCATAAGGAGTTTATTCGTCATTATAAATGCTACACAGGTAACAAGCTGAGATTAGGAGCACTCTCTTTAAGAGTGTGCTCCTAATCTCAGCTCGTTACCTGTATAAAAGACACCTGGAAGCCAGACATCTTTCTGATTGAGAGGGGGTCAAATACTTATTTCCCTCATTAAAATGCAAATCAATTTATAACATTTTTGACATGCGTTTTTCTGGATTTTCTTGTTGTTATTCTGTCTCTCACTGTTCAAATAAACCTACCATTAAAATTATAGACTGATCATTTATTTGTCAGTGGGCAAACGTACAAAATCAACAGGGGATCAAATACTTTTTCCCTCACTGTAAATATATACATGTATTCAGGTGTCTCAAAGCGTCTGGGAAAATCAGGAGTTTGTGCCGGTTAGACATGGTCTGGGCTCTTTCTTGACTGAACAACCAATGGGGGATGGGGGGGGGGTTCGGGTGGGGAGTTCGGGGGGGGGGGGTGGGGGAAATTACCCACGAGCTCACCTGGAACGTCACGATTCTCTCCAGCGACCGAAAGGCATCGGACATCGGGTTGTCCAGCTCTGCCGTGAAGTTGCGATTCTCGATGACGAAGGAGAGAGGGATGGCCACTCTGCTCCGCTTCTCCGCGGTGGGCGGCGGTGGCGGAGTGGACGCGCTCTCCGGCGTCGGACCATCGCCGGAGCTGCCGCCGCCGCCTGGCTTCGCCGCGTCGCTGGGACTCTGCGGCCCTGCCGCTGCCGCCGTGGAGTTTTCGGCGCCTGGGGTTCGCCCGGTCGTCGTGGTGGCGTTGGCCGCACAAATGCCGCCTGTCAGGGACCGACAACGGGAGCCGCACAAGCGGGTGAACCGAACGTTGCACGTGGAACTTCTTTCACGCTGTACGTAGCCAGCCGTGCTAACCGGAGGTGGGGGAAACCTCCAGACCATGTGCCCGCGGCCAAATGACCCCCCGAATGACCCCCCCCCCCCCGAATGCACCACGTCTCATGGCACACTGTAGAGGCAGCAGCAGCAGCGAGGTGTTGGTGAATCACAGCGCAAATGTTGGGAGACTTCCCTTCACGTGGGTGTCGGGCAGGAGGCCCGTACCCTGGCTCTGCCCGGAGATGGTGATACGATCAAAACGAACCTGTTCCGTCTGCGTTGACATGGAGCGTTTCCCCCTCACACGCGTGAATATTCTCCAGGCTTTCCTGTCACATGATGTAAGAACTCATCAATTGGCCGATAACACCTTCATAAATAAGAGGACCGCAGAACTTGGGCAATTGTTGGTGCCGGCTCGCCGCGTGGCGGCCTTCCCCGCTCGTTGTCTGTGGTTCCTCCTCGCGTCTCCGAGTCGCTCTCTCCCTCGACGAGAGCGAGCGGATGCCGCGCGGCGCGCGCCGAAAAGTTAAAATTGTTATCCTAAGGTTTTAAAAGAAATACATGGAATCGCATGTTGCTGCGGACAACTAGAACCCTCTCGAAACTGCACAGCTATGCGACACACACGAGTAAAATAACACATCAAACTCGATGTTCCACTCAACTCATTTCATATTACTTAATATATCTCGCCGTTTAAAACGACCCGAGTTCAATTCCCAGCCAGGGCTCACATCAGTCGTCGGTGGTGACATCTCGGCCAGGCCTGGCCCCACGTCTCAACTCTTTCAAGGGTGAGCATCGAGGTGGTGCCCATCTCCTGTTTACAGCCATGAGCCAGTGGTGGAAATTCCACATTCCCGTGGCCAAGGGGGGGGAAGGGTGCGAGTCTATGCAAAGGACAACCGCTGTCTGTTGCCTTCCCCCACATGGAGGGATGATTGTGCCGAAGGGAGTTACGGCCAAGATCCAACCGTCATTGGATTAACGGGTGGCTGCTGCTGTATTTGGCTTTATTATCGAGAGCCAATACGTGAGTAATTTATGCAGTCACGAAAGCTTTAATTCTTTATCAATAAGTGGTCTTCAATGCAGTGGCGGCACTGGCTGCGTGCAGAGTCACGTGGTGGCCGAACCAACACTGACCCACGTGACGGCAGACAAACAAGTACGTGGAGGGGCCTTCATCCAGCAGTGGATTGACAAATGTGTCCGTACATTTACACAAACGGTAGCTTATGCAAATGTGAAAAGATGTGGACCTGAAATCCTATGGGGCGTGTGTTGGCCTCCTCGTCCACACTGGCCACAGTGGGTGAAACCCATTCACGTTTGCCGGGTGGATAGAAGCACAAGGTGGGATTTGAAGGGAAGGTCCCCAATCCTTGCGCCTGCCGCGCCGGGAGATACAATTGAACCGGCGGCATCTGGACTGCAAGCCCGGCGCGCGCACGATGCTTAAGTGTCATTTAAGCCGTCAAATTGTCTCACGATTTGTTGGTGAAATTACGAATACCCCACTGCTCGTACTGCTGTGTGTGCGTGCGTGGTGACGAATGGCACACGCAAGAATATCAGCCTTCCGTTCGCCACGAAGTGGACTTAGAACTAAAAAAAACAACTCCTATATTATTAATTTTACCCGGTAAGGCTCACTGAGCTGCTACAAAATCTCTTTTTGCAGAAGCGACCTGGCTATCGCAAATGGCAGCACGATGAAGTGGCTTATCGTGCGCGAAATGTACAGCTGTATCCACAACATGTAAACGCGTGATGTCGTCGATTCTCAATGTGGAGGGGGTAAACCCGGAGGCCCCGGAGAAAAGTCCACCCGACCACGGAGAGAAAGAGCACTTAAACCCCAAATATAGAGCAGCAGGCATACCGGGCGAGAGAGAGAACAGCTCGCCACCGCGGCTTCGACGTCAGCCACGGCGCTTGTGCCAGGCTAGGTGCACCTTGAGGCCACGTGACGTTTCGAAGGCTCGCCCAACGGGTGTCACAGACGCACGCACGCACGCAGACGAGGCGGGGTACCTGTGTGCAGCAGAGCCGTCAGGAGCCACGAGAAACACGTGAGGGTGACTACTACCCTGATCCCCGTGCTCTGGGTCATGGTGTGGGTGAGAGCGGTGGCGATGGGTGCTGCTGGCGTCGAGGGAGGCAGCCAAAGCCGCTTGCTGTCACGAAGCCGCTGCAAAGGAAAGGGACCTCGACGAAAGCCAGACCCAGACTAATGCGGGACGTCCCTCGAACAGACGCATACACACAGACACACGCACACACACACAGACACACGCACACACACACTCCTGCAAACCACACAGCCACACCCACCAAACACAAGCCTTGCCCGAGCATGTTCAAGACGACTTGAGCACGGGGCACTGCAGAGCACAAACTCAGGATTACTTTTGAGCCTTTTCAGCGTGTGTTGGCGAGCGACTATTAGGAACTGGTATGATACATTCGCCGGGATGGGTATGGCCGGCGCTGTGAAAACCCTGCCGCCTTTGTCTCCCCAATGCTGATGGTTAACACACTGCCAAAACGAGGGGGGGCCCAAGTCAGATTTAGTTTCAATTAATGATGAATAATCCATGGTCTCGAGTCGAACCCAGGCCGCTGCCTTATTTGTTCACTGCGGATGGATAACGAAGCTCTTCCTTAAGTAAAAGTCAGTTTTATAAATAGAGAACAAGTCAAAACTGAGTTGTGTCTATATATAGCGCTCTTCAGACAAGGCCTCAGCGCTTTCCAACACTATCCCAGTATTAAAAAAACAAACCCCTTCACATTAAAACGAAAGAGGAAAACAACCCCCCATACGCAGATGGGTACGCGAGGGAAAATAAATGTGGTTTCAGGCGAGAAGATACAAACGTGAAAATATTTTTGTTATAAATAAAAAATAATAAAAAATAATCTTAGCTCTTTTTTTAACACAAACGGTCGTCATCACACCTGATGACGACCGTTTGTGTTATGGTCGAAACGTCGTGAGAATTTTTATTGTTTTATATATATTTTATTATTTTATTGTTTCCCTTCAACGTGACTTTACCGAAAGAGCTAAGAATATGAATTACTGCAGTCACGAAAGCTTTAAATCAAAATAATAAAAAAATGTCAAATAAAATTAGAATAAATATGATTAAATATTTACAACATTTGATAAAATAATGAATAGAAATAAAATACATAAAAATAAATGTGGTTTCAGACGAGACTCGAAAACCCTCGACTGACGGAGTCTCCCTAACGGAGGCGTCGTTCCGCCCGTCGGCTCAAAGTTCCATCAACCCGCTGAACACAGATTTTTCTTCACGCCAGAGTGAGTCGTGAGTGGTCTTTTGACCATACTTCATCACACTGGGCAGTGCTGCTAGGTGAGGGTGCAGAAGGGGGGGGGGGGTACCCAGGACCGGTTCAGATATCACACCGCCACTCACAAGAGACGTGAACGGGATACGAACTCAGATAAACGGATTTATAGCGCAGTGAGCTAACCACTGTGCCACCTCTCCCTCCAGTGGCTTGAGTTTATAATTAAAAAAAACAATGGTAACTGGTGTAAAGGTAACATGTGGAGTTATTACAAAAGTTTGTTTTAGAACAAAGACAAAGACTGTTGGGGCAAGTGCTGCCCGCGAGCATCTTTGAAGGCCCGCACGGCACGCGAGGGGGTGGGTGGCCAGCACCAACGCCCGGCCGTCTTTGTCTCCCCGGCGCTGATGCTCGCTCACCGCACCAGGTACTCATTTAAGGCCGAGTAGTCCTAGGGGAGACCCGCGAACGGTTCAAATATATTCGTTAGTTTATTGGTCGTGAGCGAAGGGTCGCGCATTGACCTACCAAGACAAAGATCCCCCGTGTAGCCTTAACAGACTGTAGGGGCAAGTGCTGTTAGCGAGCACCTATAAAGGCCGGAACGGCACACGAGGGGGTGGGTGGCCAACACCACGCCCGGCCGCCTTTGTCTCCCTAGTGGCGATGTTTACACATCGCACCAGGTACTCATTTGAAGCTGAGTCGATAATCGTCACTGGTGTTTGCCGTGATCGGGATTAAACTAGGGTCGCCAGGTTCGTAGTGTAAGTGCAGCGCGCTAACCGCTACACTACCGCTCCCCGCTACCACACACAACCACGCACACACTCGCGAACTATCAAGCGAAGTCGTGCAGCCCAGGATGATGGCGCTGGATTTTCAATTGATGGACGCTTCAGTTGGCTCAACATTAACCCAGCGCGCTGTTTGAGATGACTTTAATTCCTCCAGCAATCAAATCATCTCGTGTACTTCGTAGACGCGGTGATCGGTGCGGTCATCACCGCCGGAGGGGTTTATTTGCGCGCGCTTCAAACTTCACCGAGGCTAATTCGAGGCTGCGCTACGCCTCGCGCGTGTGAGCATTGCGGTGAATTTAAACCAAAGCGCGTGGACTTGGCGTGGTGAAGTATGGTCAAATCAACCTTCCTGCGTAAACACGGTCGTGGCGGGGGGGGGCAGATCCACTGCTCCAGCAGCAGTGAAAGTGAGAACCGGGGCCCACTGGGTCCAATTGGGGTGCTGCAAGTGGCGAGATGTTAACTACCTCGCCTGGTATACAGGAGGTCGTGGGTTAAATCCTGACGACGCCTGCTGATGTATTGCGTGTTTCTCTCTACCCGTGGTCGCGATGAGTTTTCTCCGGGACCTCCGGTTTTTTTTCCCCTACACATTTATAATCAACATCACGCGTTTAGATGAAATGGCTGTTGCACAATTTCCACTCGACGGTGAGCCGCTTCGCGTTGAGCAATCAATTTGTGGCCAGATCGCTTCTGAAGAAAGAGCTTTACCTGGTCAAATAAAAAAAACGAGTTTATAATTTAAAAGTTACAAGAAGAGGTGGTCACCATCCATCACGGTCATCATCAGCCACCGCGTTTAATGTATGCCGTGAAACTCGATGCCCTGCGGGCGATCTGCTCCAATTTATTGCACCTGGGGAACTGACACCGCTTCGTGTTGTTGTTCAGGCGAGCATGGACAAGGACAAAGATCCCACGTTTTACCTCGAAGACACTTTTTTTCGGGCAAGTGCTGTTAACGAGCACCTATGAAGGCCGACACGGTGACACGAGGGGGTTGGGTGGCCAGTACCACGCCCGACCGCCGTTGTCTCCCCAGTGGCGATGTTTTGAGGCTGAGTCGACCTAGGGGAGGCCCCGGCACCGGTTCAGATAATCGTCACCGGTGTTGGCCGTGAGCGGGAATCGAACTCGGATCGCCGGGTTCGAAGCGCAGCGTAGCGCCAATTTCAACCTCCAACTCCCTAAACGCCCCCGCCCCGCTCCAGATCACAGCCCTCGCGATGCCGCCTCCCTTCTCGACCCGTCCACAGGTTACCCCGACGAGTTACCCCGACGAGTTACCCCTAACCGGTGTCTGCAAGTTGAAACAATGGGGCAAGTTTCGTAACCAAGCCCCTCCACACCCTGTCTCTGTTCACGAAGAACGACGAGTCGGTAAGTGGAGCGCCGACAGTTGACCGGCGGCAAGGCGCGCGTGGTGGGGTAAAGTGTGGCCAAATGCCCTCTTGTGTTGCTGAACTTCTTTCGCACCGTACGTGGCCCATCGTGCTAATCGGAGGTGCGGCGGATGGACAACAAACTGGACACAAAAAGCGGCCCTAAACAAATGAGTTTGTCGATGTATAAGAGAGGTGGTGGTAGATGCTGCCTTTGTTCAAGTCACGTTGAAAGCTGACGCTTTAAAAGTGCACAGCTCCAGTGGCTTCCTCGTAGCGGAAGCGAGAGCGTTCCAGACGGCCAGAAGAAGCGCATACGAAAACGCGCCATGCAGCCGACCGTCTTTGTTCGATGGCCAGCCCTTCCGCCAGCAGTGGAGTGAGCAAGGCATTACCGCAGCGTTTGCGCCTGGTGTTGCGCGTGCATCAACACACACTGTGCTGGTGCACGAGGAGCCTGCGGGTGCCGTTCATCTCCGGGTGACTTGAAGCTAAGTGGCTGGAACGGGACAAGTCGGCACTCGCGATGGGAATGTGCCATCTGCACTGCAGGGCTCACTGGGACGTGTTTGTATAAGAGAGGTGGTGGTAGATTCCTGCCTTTGTTCAAGTCACGTTGAAAGCTGACTGTGTCATGCCTCTCAGTTCCTCAAGGAGCCCGGCCTCCCCCCCCCCGCCCCCCAGCACGCGGCGCGGAACGTCGGACATCGTGCCGAACAGCACGCGGAGATATTATCAGCGCGTGTGCGCTAGCGGGTGACGCTCATCTCTACGGCAGGCCATGCATGGGCCAGTGATGGAAATTCCACGTTCTTATGTCCGGGGCCATAAAATAATTTAATAGGATGGAAATTCCACCTTCTGATGTCCGGGGGCATGAAATAATTTCATAGGATAACCAGGTTAATTGGCCACAAATTGACACGTTTACTCGTAGCAAAACCGAAAGGAGAATGGGCCGAGTTAAGCCCTGAACGATGGTTGAAACCGTACAGTAAATGATGTCAGTATAATCATCAGACTCCAATGTTCCTCAGGGCAGCAACCGGGGCCAAGATGAGGGCAGAATTATTTAAGATTAAAAAAAAACGATTAGCCACCAGTTATCTTCTATGACATCGTGCACTTAAATGCATGTCACAAACCTTGCATGCTGAGTAATACAGTACTTATAAATAGGACCTGCACATTTACCATTTATGTAGGGTGCCACGGTGGAGAGATGTTAACTACCTCGCCCGGTGTACAGGTCGTGGGTTCGATCCCGACCCTGACGACGCCTGCTGCTGCTGTATATTTTGAGTTTGCGTGTCTCTCGCTCCCCGTGGTCGTGTGGATTTGTGTCTGGGTTCCCCTCCGGTTTTTCCCTCCACATTTAGAAACACGGCGTTTAGAGCATTTGCCTGCTCTACATTTCCACGTGATGAGCCACTTCGTTGAGCTATCATTTGTAGGCAGATCGCTTCTGAAAAAAAGCTACACAGCTCAGTGGGCCTTACCTAGTAAAATGAACATGTTTAGTTTTTAATTTATTATCATGTATACGCGTCGCCTTATCACCCAGTCTCAAGATTTGCGTTCAGGTGGGTCCTGCTAAGTTTTTTTTCCACTCAACAGGTGACGACGATTGCTGAGTACATTACAGCAATTCCCAATTAAGTAATTTGCGGATATTTAAAAATAAAAATCGAATCTGGAGGACATGGACGAACCTGAGCTCGTTTCGCAGATGCGGGTACAAGCGCCATGTTCATCGCAAAGAGCCCGGCCTGAGTGTACGGGTCCGCTTCGATTAGGGGCCACGA